GTGGGCACTCTGTTCAGAGGTAGCTCGGCACGATAGCTAGTCAATAGATACTTTGAAGTGACACCTGTCATGGGGCAGGATGCACAGGAAGTAAGAAGATCCAAAGTCATATGAAGAGGAGCACAGAAATCATGGGATCGGGCTAAGCGAGAGCTTAAGGCAGAGCTTGCTGAAATCAGTAGTAGAAACAACTCTATGGCAGAACTTGTCAGGATCAGTAGGAATGAGGTCATTACTACAGAGCTCAGTGGGAATGGTAATACCATGCTTGTATGACAGACCTCACAAGAATTGGTTTGAGAGGCACCCCCATCACCAATATGGTGAGAGGAGGATACTGGACAAGGGAGAGGGCACCACTGAATGAAGAAGGGGCCTTGCACAACAATGAAGTCAGCACCAGCAGGTGGGTGCCAATGACAGGAGGGCAATAAAAGGGTGTGAGTCACCACTCAGATGAAGTGGGACTGGCCCCTGATGCAGATGAGGCAGCAAGAGGCCCATCCATCCACAGGAGACAAGGGGAGCAGTGTCAACAAGTAGCATTACAAGGTGGATGGGGAGTATAGGAGGAGCAAGGAGGGGGAGCAGTGTTGCAGGTGACACTGCAAGAAAGGTATATAACCATGTTCCCCATCATAGCAAGTGAGTGGATCACCATCCACTCTACACCATATATTACTAGCTATAACTTCACATAAGTATACTTAGTATTCAGTCAGCAAAGTCACAATCACAAGTAGATTGCTTCCATTGTAGCACATGTGTTGTATCACCACTCACTGACATCCAAAGGCAGTTCATAGTAACCAGCAGTCCAGATAATGATTAGAACTGAAGGGAGTCATCCACTGCAGTCCAGGAATCACCTCAAGCACTTAGTCAACACACTGGACACTTGTGTTGGTGCCACCAACACTCACACTCACACCAGACCTTGGTGTCAGTACAATGTTCCCATAGCTATTGATTGTGCCAAGCTACCTCTGGATGGAGTGTCCACAGCAGTCAGTCAAAACCTGTAATAGCAAACACACTACTACATCTTCAAGCAAGAAAAGTCATAGAGGCCTTTCTATGACATATCTTGACAAGAAGAAGAATACACAGCACTCTACCACATATCTCGACAGGACCTGTAATACATGCGGTTCTCTTACAGATATCAGGTTTCAGGCATGAGACCTCTGACAACACCAAGGTCTGGTGTGAATATGCTGGTGCCAACACAAGTGTCCAGTGTGTCGACTGAATGTTTGATGATCCCTGGACCGCAGTGGACGACTGCCTTCGGTTCTATGATCGAGAGAGCCGGACCGCAGTGTGAACCGCCTTCGGTGTCTCAGTCCTGTCTACCTTACGATGCTGCTTGTTGGCACCATGTCAGAGGTCATGCACCTGAAACCCAAAATCTGTAGTAAAAAGACAACTACTACTGATCCTATCAAGATCTGTGGTAAAAGGCCTTTATTATTATTCTTGTGGAAATCTGTTGTAGAAGCCTTCTATGACTTTTCTCACTCAAATATGTGGTAGCTTGAAAGTTATCGCAGGTTTTGACTAACTGCTGTGGACACTCAGTCCAGAGGTAGCTTGGCACGATCAGTAACTAACCGAAACATAGTGAACAGCAAAACCACTACACCAGCTAGTCCCTTAGCTGGTGTACCCAATTCACACAACACTGAAGTATAAGCATTTCACTCCCAATGCTCCGGACTCGGAGAACGGAATTCCATTCCGGTGACAGTCTGGTGCTGATGATGTTGCTTGCGCCGACACGAGTGTCCAGTGTGTCAACTGAATGATTGATGATCCCTGGACCACAGTGGACAACTGCCTTTGGTTCTAATGATTGAGAGAGCCAGACTGCAGTATGAACTGCCTTCAGTGTCGATCAATATCCAGACCACAGTATGAACTGCCTTTGGATGGCATCAAGTGGTGATACAACACATGCACTGTGGTAGTAGCAATGTTCTGCAATTGCTACTGATGACAGAATACTAATGTATACTTATGTGAAAGCTATAACTAGTAAGATATGGTGTAGAGTGGATGGAGCTCCACTCAACCACCATGACGAGGAGCAAGTGCATGTTATATAGATGTCCTTGGCATATTGCTGGCAACCATGCTTGTTCCCCTTGTGACCTCCTCCTACACTGCTCCTCCTCCTCTCAACTCTTCCTCCTAGTGGATGGGAAGTCCTTGTGCTGTTTCATTACCAATAGGGGCCTTTCCCACTTCATCTGGGTGGCGACTCACACCCCCCTTCATCTCTCCCATCCTCCTGGTGCTGAGCTCATCGTCAAGTCGGTGTCAGCGGTCTCGCACCTGAAATCTGTAATAGAAACACGTCTATTACAGATCCTGTTGAGATATGTGGTAGAGTGCTTTCTATTACTGTGCCTGTTGAGATCTGTCATAGAAGGCCTCTATGACTTTTCTCATCTGAAGATGTGATAAGTGGTTGATACTGCAGGTCTCGACTAACTGCTGTAGACACTCCATCCAGAGGTAGCTTGGCATGATCAATAACAATAGGAGCCTTGTACTGACACCAAGGTCTGGTGTGAGTGTGCTTGTTGGTGGCACTGACATAAGTGTCCAGTGTGTTGACTGAGTGCTTGAGGTGATCCCTGGACCACAGTGGACAACCACCTTTGGTTCTAATGATTGAGAGAGCTGGACTGCTGGATGAACTGCCTTTGGGATGTCAATCAATGTCAATGAGTGGTGATACAACACATGCACTATGATAGGAGCAATGTCTTATGATTGCTACTGCTTGATGAAATACTAATGTATACTTTATGTGAAAGCTATAACTAGTAGTGTATGGTGTAGAGTGGAGGGGGATCCACTTGACCACTTAGGACAAGAAGGTATGGTTATATACATCTTTGCAGAGTTGCCTGCAACTCTGCTCTGGCTCTCTCTCCAGAGAGTACCCTCTTTGTTGAGCACTGTGGTAGAGGTCTCTACCAAGGTGTCTCCTCCTTGCCAGCCCCTGCTTCTCCTGCTCCTGGGTCAAGGAGAGCCAGCACCATCTCATTGTTGATAGGGGTCACCCCACTTCATCCTAGTGGCAGTGCACCCCCCTCTTTCATCGACCTCCTGACTCCAGCACCCATCTCCTTACACTGACTTCATTGTCATGTAGGGCCCCTACCTCATCCAGTGGCAACCTCAAATGTCCTTGCCACTAATCTTTATCATGTGATCCACATTACTGTTGTCTTCCTACCGATCTTCTGTGAGATCTGCCATGTGATTACAATACTACTGGCTCCAGCAGGTGTCACCATAAGGTCCCACTCATGCTGATTCAGCTGAGACCTGCCATAACCCATCTCTACTACCAATTTGGCTGGGACCTGTTGTAACCCATCTCTACTATCAATTTGGCAGAGACCTGTCATAAACCTTCCCTACTACTGATCTTGGTGAACTCTGCTGTAGACTCTCGTTTGGCCCAATTCCATGATTCCTGCGCCACTCTTCAGATGATTCTAGATCTTCCTGCACATCCGGTCCCATGACAGCTCTCACACTCCGCACGGCATACATCAAGGACACAGTCGAGAAGGGACTCGTCATCATTAAGTGGATCCCAGGTGAGTTACAGATTGCAGATGGCCTCACTAAGCTACTCAATGCTAGAGGGAGTAACAAGTTATGCGAAGACTTGGGTGTCCTTGCCAAGTAAATTGGCTGCCAATAGGAGGAGTGTTGGAGGTTGATTTGACCTCATATTGGCAGCATCATGCCATTATCCCTGATATAGTTGAGGGGACGGGCCTCCTCATTAATGCATCCCTGCATCGACATAGGGGTTGAGGAGCTTGGAGCTCCTCAACCAGCATGTCGCACTTGGTCCTATCATGCATAAATAGTTGCACCTCTTGCTGTAGATAGTCACAAAATATCACCCTTTTTCCCTAGTTGTCTGCGAACCTAAAACCAGCTCGTCCGAACCATAGCTACGCGAGGCGACACTTCTTTCAACATCGTGCACGTACTCGCTAAACATGTTGGCTGTGGTTGGTGAGGATAGCAGTGTTGGACAACGGTCAATCGCGGACCGAGAGATGGCTCGAAGTTGGTGATGAGCGGGCAAGCTAGATTTCTGCTGACGAGCTGGGCTTTATAGCTTTCGAACAACAGGACTTGCAGAGCTTCAACCAGCAACTTGCAAGCTGAGCAGGTCATCTCCAAGGCTGAGTCGCCCTTGTCACGTTGTCTTCCGTCTGGTAAATCTGCCTTTCATCAGAGCGTTTTGATGCTGATTCGTCGAATGAGCTGAAGCGTACTCTGAGCAAAGTGGTCAGTGCCACCCTTCGCATCGCCACACAGCTTATACTTTGACTGCGCTGAGCCCTCCAAAGCCGAGCCCGACCCAGCCTGCCTTGATGAAAAAGATGGCTTTGCCTCTAGGCGCGGCGCGATCCGTAAACGCGTGCACACAAAAATGTGATCTTTGGCGACGGCTTGCCGCCTTGCCTTCGACTATTTAGTCACATCCGTCAAATAGACTCAAGCTTGGCCACGTCGAAGCGTTGAAACCTCTTTTTAACATCACTGAGTTGCGCAGTTAAGCTCACATGTTCCCACATTTTGCGTTACGCCACACCTCCTCGACAGGGAGCAGCCGATTAGTAGTTGCCGCACACTGCGCCAGGCGACAGAAAAAGTCCTTCGGAGAGCGAAGACGAAGCGGAGTAGTCCGAACAGGACGATACGAAGAACGTGTAGGTCGATGCTCTGAGTTCGCGACACATAGCGCTAACCAGCGTCAAATCTTCATTGTCGCGTTCAGACTTCATTAACGTAGGTCTTAGATTGGTTGCATGGACACCCACCTGCTGGAGCCTTCTGCTTTAGGTGCGGAAGAGGCCCACTTTGCAAAGCCAACCCCTCTTTGGGCTCGCTCGCGCTGAACGTCGAGCTATCGTGACGACCATCACCTCCAAGGCTTGGATTTCACGGCAGCAAAGATGCGGCTCATCCCACACGTTTTCTCGCTGATGGCGCTTACGGTCACGCTCTGCCACCTGTTGCTGTTGCAAGGCGCGCAAGCAGCTCATCGAGAGCATCAAAGGCTACACCGTCGACAGTCGCAATACCAATACATCGCAGATGAACAGGACCCACTCAAAGCAGCAGCCGACATTCAGCAGATGGAAGGTGTCCCCAACAGCAGCTCGGAACCCAAACCAGACTGGCTCATCATCAAGGACGATGGCAGTAATGGCAATCCTCCCTGGCTTTCTCAGGTGCCTTTCGTCGCAACACCCCAGGCCAACACAATTACCCTCGCGAGTGGTAAGTCGGGATGGCAAAATGTACCGGACATGGAAGGCTTCACTCTGAACCGCACTTGGAAGGTGCTTCCCGATCTCAACATGCCCGTGTACATCTCCTCCAATTATCAGCCAGGACAGGACAACAGCCGTATTCAGCGTGCCATCATCACCATGCCAGGAAAACCTCGCGACTCGTGGAAGTACGCCAATCTCTTCCGAAACGCCCTGACCATTGTCGCATCTAACGCATCGAACGGCATCTCTGCCGACCAGGTCATGATCGTTGGACCCGTCTTTCTCAATTCCGACGACAAGGAAGCCGGCGGCGTCAAAGATGGTGAACTGTACTGGCATGGATCGCAGTGGCAGTCAGGTCAGCATGTGCGCAACGAACCCAAGGTCAAGCTCAGCTCGTACCACATCCTCGACAACATCACCGACTGGATCTTTACATCTGGCGAGTTTCCGTCGATCAAGCAAGTCGTCTTTGGCGGTCACTCGATGGGTGCACAGGCCGTGCAACGATACGCTGTGCTGAAGAAGACAAAGGCGTACGATCCAAACATTCACTTCTGGCTCGGAAATCCCGGTTCTTGGGCCTGGCTCGACGATCAACGTCCGTATCAGAACGACTCTTGCACTGGCTGGAACAGCTGGGGTTACGGCATTGGCAATGTTTCCAGCGTCATCAGATACGCCCGAAGAGATGTCAATGCAAGCAGAGAGGCGGTTGTCGAGCGCTTTCGTTCGCGCAAAGTGCACTACGCTGTCGGACTTGCCGATACCGGAGCTGGTGACACGCATTGTCAAGCCAAGACGCAGGGAGGAAGCCATTTGGACCGCGGTTCACAATTTGTCCTCACTCTTGGCAGATTAGGCGGTTTCCCATCCAGCCAAACATTTGATGTCATCGCTGGAACTTCGCATCAGGATTACCCAATGATTCGAGCAGACAAGTCAGTGCAGCGTATCTTCCTCAGCGACTTCAACACGAGCTTCCCGCTGCTGACCAACACCACCAACCCAGGCGACCACGAGCACAAGCACCACAATTCGACACACCATGACCCCGAACATCCCAAGTTGAAGATGTTCTCCACTCCCAAGCATCGGATCATTGCCTCGGGTCTGTTAGGTGGGTCGGTGGTCACCGTGATTCTCTTCTTTACCATCTTGCCGTTCATCTTTAGCAATAACTACGACGAGACTGGATACCAGGTTGAGATGTCGAGTCGGCGAAGGCTCTTGTCGTAGATGTGGGCGGGTTTTCCAAGTTCTCCAGAACGTTCCTTCTGTCAGGTTTCCACTGTCATTCAAGCATACATCTCCTTACTCTTTGCAGCCTACTAGTCCATCGTCTCTCTCTTGCGATGCAGGACCGTGCCGTTCATATAAGATGTGTACTGTACTGTTCCAGTGAAAAGGTCATGACAGGTGACTTTGACGAGGAAAGGGAAGAGTTGTGGCAGCTCGGAGCATTTCCATGCTGTGCCTCGATGCATGGGCTGAGCATGAGTGGAGGAATTTTTTCCCGGTTGCTCATCAGTCCCCACATTTTTCCTGCGTACTTTCCGAAACCCGAACTTGTCTTCTGCTCACCACCTAAGAAGTGTTACTTCTCCAACATCGACCTATCCTTTCGCTTCCCAACATCGCTGCCACCCATACCCTTTTACTTATCTCTCCACTTATCAGAGAGATATTTGCATCAAGATGGTCGGCTCTGTAAGTCTCTCGCCTCACACTCATTTTGACAGCAGCTGCATTCCCACTGACACACCTCCTCCTTGGCTCATGACAGTGTCTACACATCCGTCAAGATCTCACCGATTGCGTCCTCAAAACCGACTGCTATCTCAAGCAAGGCAACTCGGCACAAGAATGCATCACATCACATATGACCGAATTGCCATTGGAATGCCAACAGCTCTACAAGTCCTTTGTTGAGTGTCGTCGTGGTATGGTAAGCACCTCAGACCCCCTCTTTCCCTGTCATTGATGAGTAGCGAAGTACAGCTGACGGGTGTATGTATCTTGTACCGATGGGGTAGTTGGATATGAGGAAACGATTTAGGGGCAATGCACCGCCAGCAGCGGGAGGGAATAATGCCCCGGGTGGAACTAGTCAGGTTGATCCTTCGACTGCTGGTCAAGGGTCGTCGTAGTATGCACAGAAGAGGAAAGTAGGCTCGTCCAACAGCCGAGCATCTAAGGAGTGGAATCAAGGCTCAAAGATGGTCCTGATGAACCGAAACTCAAGCATGCGCACTTGTACTTGTATCGAATCACACAAACACTTCTCATCTCCAACGTTTTGTTGTCTTTCCTTCCGCCATGATTTCGTCAGTCCCTCGATCCGTCAAAACTGTCCTCTACACTCGATGAACAAGACACGACTTCAGGCTCAAATCGACACCGGTTGAAACCATTAACATTCCAAAACAACAAACGAAGGAACAAAAGAGACAAGGATAATCGACTACAGAGAGAGGGAAACATTGAGCAGTATAGAAAAGAGACAGTCGGATGTCATCCGATCCCAAGTACTCACAATACCCAAATGTACGGGTTGCCTACTGGGACCGGCATCGAAATTAAAGATAGACCATCGCTCCATCCCTCGCGCTAGATCATCGAGTAAAGACAGTATGCACCACCCAGATCTCCACCTCCTTAGAGCATCACCACAACAATCGCCGCCGCCGCAATGGTAATAAAGATCGCCTTTGCCGCTGCGTAGTTGAAAGCGTCCGGAGCGCTGTTTGCGATTTGCAGATTTGCCGGGTTTGGTGCCAAACCCTTTGCATCGGTTGCGGTGTTGTATTTTCCTGCTGATGCCAAGCTTTGGTAAACGCCTGAGGGGAAGATGGGCGGAACGGTGGCTGTGGGGATGGTGTAGTTATACTGGTAAGAGGATGTGGCGGGGGAAGGACCAGGACCGCCGATCACGGTTGGGTTTCCACCTTGTGCCTGTGCGTAAGTGGTGACAGGTGTGAAGGTGTTGCTGACAGTGTAGGAGGAGAGGGGGAAGGATGTTCCTGCGAAAGCGGAGGCTACTTGAGCGTTGGAGGTGGAGGCGAGGATGAGAAGGATGGATGCGAGGAACAGTGCGAGTGATCTTGTTGGTGTTGGGATGGTCATTGTGATTGGTGTGATGTTGGGGGAAGATGGGAGATGGATGCTGTGATGGCTCTGGGGCAGGGTTGGCCAACTGAGGACTTCGCTATGAGATCGAGTCTGAATATAGATCCGCAAGTGTGGGATCCGATCCTATCGATGCTGATTATGGGAAGGTGTACGTTCGAAGTTCGAGCTGCCCGGAGGCAAGCAGACGATGCAAGCGAGTCGAAGAAGTAGGTAGACGGTGGATGGGTCCCAAGAGTGCTGTTCCGGAACGGTACTAGCGAGAAAACAGCGAATCTGGTCGGGGGAATAGCGACCAGCGGGAAGATTGATTGGCCAAGGGTATCAGAGCAAGGAGGAGGAGGAGGATGGTCTGGAGATGAAGGAGCGGATCGTGCGGGGAAGTGTGAGTACAAAGTTCAGACCTTGACTCACAGACATGCAAGAAGGAGAGGTCCCAGCTGAGCGGGGCAACTGGATGGACACAGAAACACAAAGCGGCAGCAGAATCGAGAAAGAAATTTCGTGCTTGCTGTTGATGCATGATGCTGCTGCTGAGTCTGGGCCGAAGCAGCAATCCCAACCCCGCAAGCGGCATCGGCAACGACGATCCTTCCGCATACAAAAGGGTGTTCCTGTGCTGAAGGCGAGAGGAGAGAAAATATTCCCCGTCTGCGGCCGTCGTTTGCAAGAAAAAAATGGACTTGAAACTCGATATCGCCATCTGCTGTCGCTTAGCTCGTGCGGTGCAACGCAAAAAAAAAAAAAAAAAAAAAAAAAAAAAAAAAAAAACACAAAAAAAGCAAACTTGACTCCTGCTTCTCTCTCAGCCTCTCTCTGCCCTGTTGTAACATTAACTGCGCCTCGAGTGACGAAAAATGCTGCTTTGCAAATTCAGGTCCCGACTGCTTTATGGGTCGCGATTTCACAGGCCAAGTTTCACAGCCGCTCTTACGACTTGACTTGTGCCCGTCAATTCTGTCAATAAGCTGACTGCGCTACGTTATGTCTTCCTTCTGCGGATGCAGACGGAGCCAGAAAAGGTTCTCTAACAAGATCAATGGCCTTTCTGTCCTAAGGTCATCATTGCTAAAGCGAACAAAAGTAACCCAAAGGTGCCGAGCGGACGGTTCCCTTGCATGGGCGTGCCCGATGAATTGGAAGATCGGGCCAACTCAGGGGCAGCTGCCCCAAGCTCAAGCCTCTCCATTCATCCACTCCTCTCAACCTTACTCAAACTAAGGGACAAGCACATTGCATGATCCGAGAGGTCCCGGCGCTCTCTATCTTGAAGCACGAATACAGATGCATTAGCGGAACGAGCAAGAAAGGCCATAAGATATCCCTCAATGGCGAATGACGACGCGAATATTTGTTAGATCTTTAATCCCTACACATTAGTAGGATAACCTGCAGACAAAAGAAACTTCCGCAGGTGGCCGAATGACGATGCGAAGATGTGAGCGGATATAGCTTGTGGACGGGAAGATGGCAATGCACAACCTTCCTCCGGCGGCATGTTTAGCAGCTAGCTGGCATCAGCAGCCTTGGTATCCCGACTCTGATAATCAGCCTGGAACCTCCAACTAGCCACTCCATCAAACTCGCTCCATTCCGGCGTGACCTCTGCTGCCTTTGCTGCCACGCTAGGATCATAGAACGAAGGAACCTTTACCCGCACCTCTGCCTTGTACGGCACTGGGGGAATCTTCGCCTGGTCCAAATCAAAGACGAACTGTGTCAAAGTATCACCTGTTGCCCAACCGTACCAAGGTCTACCAGCCCACTGTACCGCTCCGTTGTTTGCTGATGAACCCTGTACGCCATCTTTGGCAAAATTGGATTCGATGTAGTTCTTCACATTGTATAAGATGTTTGCTTCGTCATCTTGATAGATCGAAGGTGACTTTGCTGGGGTGATGGTCACCAGACTACTCCTAAGCCCTGCGATCAAGCTTGAAGAAGTGGACAGAACAAAGTTGGAGAACAGAATGAACTGCTTGAAGACGAAGCCCTTTTCTGCGGCATTGGGCTGTTGACCCGCTAGTGAAGGGTGACGCATGCCGAGGACTTCGAGTTTGGCCTCGTCAAAGCTGGGTCGGAACAAACGTGGTCCGGGACCAGTGTGGTTCTGGTATCCCAATTCGAGCATGACGGGGTGGTTGACGCCAGCATTGTATTCACTGGGGCTGAGCCCAAGGGCCTGGATCTGGCCATGTGTGAACGGAATGAGAGGCGAAGGCTCGATATCGCGCACTTTGCGAGGGAGCAAGTTGAGGATCTGGGCTATCGGCATCAGGAGAGGCACTAGCATCACATCGTAGGTTCCGTTGATGGCAACCATTTTGGCTTTGCTCTCGAAATGATCGGCTTCAGGGTCGAGCTGATGTGCGTGAGTGGGTTGTAATGGTGGTAGTAGCGAGAGTAGGTGGTGATGATGGCATTCTAATATGGGTTCAGGGGAGACTCAAAGGGTCGCCTTGACCCATCTGTCAGCTGCAACAAACGTCAGTCTGCGAACGAATAGAAAAGTGGAGTAAGCTGTCGGAAATGATTTTGTACCCCACTTTTCCCAGCCCTCTTTTGCAATTCACGTTTAAAAGCAGCACAACACGAGCTGCGTGAGAACAGCGCTAGCGAGCTCGGCTCTTCTGTTCTGCAGTTTCCTCAGCATGTGGTCACCATCCTTCTTTTCACCAGAAAGAACTCACAAGAACGAGCTTCGAGAAGGCTTTCACACGCCAACTTGGATGCCATGTCTATTAGGAATCCTTTCGTCTGGTGTCTGGTGTCTGGTGTACAATTAAAGTCTATCTGTCTAAGTGGGAACAACAGTGTTCGTGCAGGTGTGCGCTACGCAGACCAACCGATCTCGAACCAGAGATACTCTTGCTCATCGTTGCGACCCACGCTAGAGCGCTTATCGAGCCTGCGTCGCTTCAAGATGGTCAGTTCCGCGGAATGCCTCTTTACCTTATGCGTTTCACGCAGTGAGATGGCTTCCATGCGTGAATGCAAGAGGTCGCTATGCTTCGTGCTTCCCTTGTGACTGTCGCTTGCTGGGGATTCTGCCATTTGTGCAGGTGTTCCCGGCATGGTATCAAAAGGCGTCACGGTGCTCGAAGCGCTGAGCGAAGGCACATCTGTGGAACGAGCTCGAGGCCTGAAAGCGTCCTCTACGGTCTTGTAAAGGCCCTCGAACTTGCCTGAGTCACGAACGGCCATGATGATGTGTGCCCGAGGCTCACTTCCCACGGTTTCGCTTGGAGAAGGCTTGCGAAGCAGTGTCTCGATCGAAGAGCGGATCCAGAGAGCATGTTCGGGGGCGTAGATCACGTCGGCAAGCAGCAGCAAATCGTGCTTGGGGGGGCTTACAAAATCCTCCTCCGCGATGCCTTGCGTAACCTTCTCATGGACTTGAAGCCAGTCGAGATGCTCCACTGACACTGAGACCGGGCCGCAGCCATGTGATGCTCCTGCATTGACCTCTGATGCAGGGAAATTCTCGTGCACATTGTATTTGAGATTCTGCAACACCTTGCAATGGTAGTCTGTGAGCACTACGTCGGCTGCGATGTTGCGTTGCTGCAACATCTTTGCAGCGACCATTCCAAGCAGCCCGGTACCAGCGCCAAGCTCCGCTATCCTTACACGCTGACCAGACGAATAAGCTAGAGCAGGATGGAAAAGTGTGGGATGTCGGATCAAGACATCACTGACGACGATCGCCGCTCCCCACGTCTGAACGCCGACAGCTGCGGCGGCATCTTGACTCGATCCAATTTCATTTTGCGTGTTGGCTTCTGACTTTGAATGTGAAGGTGGAAGAGGGTCATCGCGAAGCACGATCTCCACTGTTTCCGGCAAATCTACGGCTGGGTGAGCGAGAGCATCAGCCTCTGAAATCGAGACCAGTTCCTTAAGTGGGAAGCGAAACTCGCGAGAGATAGCGCCAGCTTCCTCCAAGCTTGCATGTCCACCAAGGATTCGGCCAGCTAAGTCGAGAAGAGCATCAGCAGAGGTGACGTCTCCCTCGTCGTTGATCCAGTAAAGGCTGCTGCCGATCAAGCGGGTGAGCCAGTTCATGGCATAGCGCTTTTCATTGTCGTCTACTTTGGCCGAGTCGAGAGCATCCTGATATGCCAGCGCATCGTGCTCACTGCCATTGCTCGTGTTGTTGTCGATAGAGGCTCGGTAGCTGGTCTCGTTGCGAGTTAAGGATTGTGGAGAGTAGAGGTTTGCCAGATGTGCGAGCGCCAAGAAGATGTCGACAAATGGGGGCTCGTCTTTGATGCGAGGTAGGCAGCTTGTCGGATTGACGCGAGTCGCCAGCTGCTCTGCGTTGCCCATCATCGTAGGCTCGAGTTGCTGAGGATGGCAAGTCGATGTCTAGGTCAAAACAATCCGGTCGATGGAAATCTAGTCTATGGAGGCCCGCAGGCATTGGGTCGATTCTTCAGATCATCTCCGCAGACTGTACACTGAAAGCGCAGCTGGGTCAACGGTTCGACCTTGCCAGGGAGGAATGATTAGATGTAGAGGGTGGTGGTCAGGACAATGAAGTTACACACACTCAGCTGAACGAAGAGGTGGAGCAACACACTTTTCAAAAAAAGTTCGAACCCTGGGCTCACGGCCGAGAGTGTCCGAAAGCCGGATTTTGAAAGAGTTGCGTTTCACAGGCGGCAGAAGCAGTCTCGGCGTCACAGTCAAGTGGTGGTTATCCGTCAAGAGCCGCGTTCTCTGTAGCGAGCCGTGCCTTCACGATTGGCGGTGGTTGCGGGGAAGGCGGTCCAATTCAGAGCTGCGAAAGCGCACAGAAAGCGCTTTCAGTCAGAACCGGTCCATGGTATCGGCTTAACTTCGGCCCAATAGAGGAAGCTGTCAACTTTGTGTCTTTCAAGCTCGCTTTGGCGTTTCCGGTTCTTCTTGATCTGATGTCTTCCTCCTCTGTGTTGTCGATACAACTCACTTACACTCCCACCATCACCCAACCATTTGGAGCAGTTTCAGCATAGAGCATCAAAACAACTCGAAAACTTTTCCTTACCATGCCATCTCGCCTCGTCGCTGCTCGTCTTGCGCGTCTCAACGCAGCTCGAGTGCAGTCCTCTACTGCTTCATCTTCCAGCGTCGCACGCTTGAGCATCCACTCACGCTCAGCCCACGCTCTTCCTACCTTCGCTTCCTTCGCTTCGGTATCTTCATCGCCTTTCGCTGTCAGGATGAACTCGACCGCTGCAACTTCGCTCAACCCACAACCAGCTCCGCTCCGAGTACAGCCACCTACAGCTCAGCAGGAGCAGGCAGACTACGATGCTGCTATCAAGCAGGTCCAGGAGTGGTTCGACAGCCCACGTTTCAAGGGCATCAAGCGACCTTACGGTCCTGAAGCCGTCGTATCTAAACGTGGCTCGATGCCCGTCCAGCCTCCTGCTTCCTCTCTCATGGCCGACAAGCTCTTTGCTTTGCTTTCTGAACACGCCGCCAAAGGTACTCCAGCTCACACCATGGGTGCCATCGACCCTGTTCAACAATCGCAGATGGCCCACAACCAGGAGGTCGTCTACGTCTCAGGCTGGGCCTGCAGTTCCGTCTTGACCACTTGCAACAACGAGGTCGGACCCGATCTTGCCGACTACCCTTACACTACCGTCCCCAACCAGGTCCAGCGTCTTTTCAAGGCGCAGCAGCACCACGATCGAAAGCACTGGGATGAGCGATGTCAGCTCTCCGCAGAGCAGAAGGCAAAGACCCCGTGGGTCGACTACCTCCGACCCATCATCGCTGACGCCGACACTGGTCATGGCGGTCTCAGCACCGTCTTCAAGCTCGCCAAGCTCTTTGCTGAGCAGGGTGCTGCTGGTATCCATCTCGAGGACCAGCTCCACGGTGGTAAGAAGTGTGGTCACCAGGCCGGCAAGGTCCTTGTTCCCACTTCGGAGCATGTCAACCGTCTCACTGCTACCCGATTCGCATGGGACATCCTTGGATCGTCCAACATCTTGATTGCCCGTACCGACTCAGAATCGGCCAAGCTCATCTCATCCAGCATTGACGCCCGCGACCACGAATTCATCAAGGGTGCTTACAACTTGCCCGAGGGCACCAAAAGTCTTGCCGACACCCTCGCTGCCAAGGAGGCTGAGGGTGCTTCTGGACCAGGAGTTGACGCAGCAGAGAAGGCATGGATGGTCAAGTGCGAGCTGCTCACCTTCAATGAAGCTGTTGCTAAGCACAATGCTTTCAACAAGCAAGGTGTCGAGACCTACAACAAGAAGGTTGCCGACGGTGTCTCGAATCGTGAGGCTCGTGCCATTGCCAAGGAGGTATTCGGCGCCGAGGGTGTCCCTGTATGGAGCTGGGATGCACCACGAACCAAGGAGGGCTACTACCACTTCAAGGGTGGTGTTGGGGCCGCCATCAAGCGTGTCAAGATATTTGGTGCCTACGCTGACATGCTCTGGCTCGAGACCAAGACACCCGATCTCAAGCAGGCGCAGATCTTTGCTGCCGACATTCACAAGGACTTGCCAGGCAAGTGGCTCGTCTACAACCTGAGCCCAAGCTTCAACTGGAGTGCCCACGGCTACTCTGATCAGGATCTGAAAAACTTCGTTTGGGACCTGGCCAAATCTGGTTTCGTCTTCCAGCTCATTTCGCTCGCCGGTCTCCACTCGACAGGTGCTATGACTTGCGAGCTCTCGCAACGATTCAAGAACGACGGTATGCTTGCTTACGTCGAGCTAGTACAGCGAAAGGAGAAGGAGATTGGATGTGACGTTCTCACTCACCAGAAGTGGTCAGGTGCTGCTTACGTCGACCGCATGCTGCAAGCTGTTAGTTCGGGTAGCTCAGCGACTCAGGCAACGGGTGCTGACAGTACCGAGCGCTCCTTCTAGATGTCCTAAATGTAACACAGCTTTCTAGCCAATGTCAAGTCAATAGATTCAGAAGCGTCAGAAGCGTCAGAAGCGTCCGTGTGAAGCCCGATGAGCTGTAAGAAGAACTTGAACCAAATTTCCCGAGTTCCGAGAAACGCACGGGAAGACTTGGATTTTTAGAGCTTTCTGCTCCACTTTTATGTACCTTCACTAAGACCATACAGGCTGCTCCTCAGGTGCTGGGCGATGTTACGATCAGCATGTCAGAGCGCTAGGGCATGCCCATCACGAGTGCCAGTGGCCTCGACTAGCAGGCTCGCTTCGAAGCATGCACGATTCAGTCCGACCGAGCCGCTTCGTCCCGCGACAGCCTCGAACAGACAGGCGGATTGTTTGACCAAAGCGACACCAACTTCGTCACATCGACAGTATTCGACAACAATACCAAGGCAGGCATTGGCATCACCTGCTGCTTCCAACTTCAGCGCAGCAACCAAATCTGACGCACGAGACATCTCCAAATTTGATCGCCTCGAGACACGGACATTCTCCATCATCAGCCATGTCGACCATGGCAAATCGACACTCGCGGATCGACTACTCGAGTTAACTGGTACAATACCTTCAGATGGATCAAATCAGCAAGTTCTTGACAAGCTCAAAGTGGAGAGGGAAAGAGGGATCACTGTAAAGTCACAAGCAGTGACCATGGTGTACGACTACGATGGACCACGAGAAGGCTTTATCTCAGCTTTCCATGATGGCTTTGCGCCGAAGCCAGGTCGCTACTTGCTCAACCTGATCGACTGTCCAGGCCACGTCGACTTCTCATACGAAGTGAGCCGATCGCTCTCTGCGTGTCAGAGTGCGCTACTCGTCGTCGACGCAACACAGGGCGTGCAGGCACAGTCCATCACTGTGTTCGAACTCGCCAAGCAAAAGGATCTCGCCATCGTTCCCGTGCTCAACAAGAGCGACCTACCAGCAGCAGATCCAGATCGATGTGCCTTACAGATGGAAGAGATCCTCGGTATCGACACAACCCTGCCCGGTCAAGAGCCATTACTCATTTCCGCAAAGACAGGCAAAGGCGTCGATAGCGTCCTACGAGCATTAGTCGAACGAACAAAACCACCAGAAGGCGTCGAAGATGGCAAGCTGGAGGGAAGAGAAGGGCCTGGATTCAGGGCGTTGGTGTTTGACAGTTGGTACGATCAGTACAAGGGAGTTGTTTCGCTTGTCTCTATCGCGGATGGTGCGGTGAAGAAAGGTGACCGCATCACTTCATGCCATACTGGCAAGCGATACGAAGTGCTCAGTCTCGGCGTCAACTCGCCGGAGATGATCGCAACAGATGTGCTGCGCAAGGGACAAGTAGGGTGGATCATCGCCAACATGAAGGATATGAGCGAGGCACAGATCGGTGATACATTCCATCTGTCATCGGAGAAGGTGGAGCCATTGGAAGGCTTTGCACCCACGGTGCCAATGGTCTATGCAGGTATCTTCCCTATCGAGACAACAGACTTCTTGAAGCTGGAAGAAGCGATCCAGCGACTGGCGCTGAATGATCGTTCGGTGACAGTTCAGAGGGAGTCGTCGATGGCTCTAGGTCAAGGCTGCCGTTTGGGCTTCCTCGGATTGCTGCATCTAGATGTCTTCCGACAGCGACTGGAAGACGAGTACGGACACGCGATCTTGGTCACAGCGCCATCTGTACCCTACAAGGTCACCTGGCGAGACGGTCGCGAAGAGATCGTTTCAAATCCTATCCACTTTCCGGACGACTCGGAACGCAAGTCCAAAGTGAACTTGCTAGAAGAGCCGATGGTCAGAGGCGTGGTGCGTTGTCCGGAGGAATACACCGGTGAAATCATGCAGCTCTGCGCAGAGCATCGTGGCGAGCAACTGGATGTTTCCTTCCCACCTACTGCATCGGCGATTCGATCTGTCCAGATGACCTATCGACTCCCGCTATCCGAGATTGTGACTGACTTCTTCGACAAGCTCAAGTCTTGCTCTTCAGGCTTTGCATCATTCGAGTATACCGAAGACGGCTATGCAGCGAGTGACTTAGTCAAACTCAACTTCTTGATCTCCAATACGGTGCTCGACTCACTGTCGATCATCATGCATCGGTCGAAGGTGATGTATGCCGCTAGACAGTGGACGAAGAAGTTGAAAGATATCATTCCGCGTCAGCAGTTTGAGGTCTCGATCCAAGCAACGACGGGAAGTAAGGTCATTGCAAGAGAAACGCTGTCGGCGTATCGAAAAGACGTTACGGCAGGACTGTATGGTGGACATTACGAACGCAAGCTCAAGCATCTCAACAAGCAGAAAGAAGGAAAGAAGAGGTTGAAGGCGCTCGGTGTTGGTAGAGTGCAGATTCCAACTGAGAAGTAAGTCACACCCTGCAACCTGGCAAACGGACTCCTTTCATCGGGTCTTGCCTTGCCGAAGCGGAAGACGTTCTACTCGCCAAGTATTCATGCACAGAGAAGAAGAGCCATGACATGCTAACACCGATTCTTTTGCCCCTTTTCTTATCCAAATCGCACAGGTTCCTAGAGGTGCTTGATACCCGCTCAAAAGCAAAGTGATAGAATGGCAATACCTACAAACGGTTCGTCTCACACCGGTTGCTTGATGCAGTGCGTGTCCCATACAGAACCTCGCGATGCTACCTCCGACAAACGAGGGAGCGTCAGCTCTTCAATGACGAAGCTGAGCGCAATCCCGCGCATGAATCATTTCGAACGATGCGGATAGTCACCATGCGGTGTATCGGAAAGATCCCTTCTGCATTGCGGTCGTAGCCGTATAGTGCAACATGATCGTGCAATACTGTGGGAGGGCATGTGGGATGTGATGTAGGATAGGTCCTAGCGAATATAGCCGAAGGCGAACCGACCTGTGAAGCTGAGACACAGACAGAAGCGAGTTGAAAGAGGGCCGGTGAAAATTTCTCCGTGTTTGTTTCTTTTTGATTCTCAGCAAGCGGCGGGAGCGTATTGCAAGCCACGGTAAGTGTGAAGCGGCGCTCTGTCCAGACCCAGAGATTTGGCCGACACTTGCATCCCCCACGCAGAGCAAGCAATGTAACTCCGCATTCATTCTGCAGCTCGATTTGACAGCCGTTTCATCCACTTTGACTGTGTGGCTTTGGTCTCGGTTGAAATTGGACCGACGTTGAACCTTTGAGCGTGCCAATGCTGGGCTGCAGTCGGACCCTTCGTCCCTTGCCACAGTTGTTATCTCTGCGTATGCATCCCACCAGCCAAGGTCTTGAAGTACCGCATCGTTCCGTCAGAAACCACCTGCCTGTTCATGCGTTCACATGGTCGGAACGGCCTAGGCAATTCTTCTCGACCACTCGCGGAACACGGCATTTCAGCAAAGAATGCATTGCTGAGCCAGCCTTCAGCGTTGGGCAGAGGCAGAGTTGCATCGGCAAATTATGCAGCCTGCAATGAGGAGACCGGTGATCTCTCCTCAGTATCGATCGGAAATTAGCCGGCAAGCCAACGAGAAAGTCTGCTATGACTTGAACAAGCACTGTCGTTTTAATTGATGAACGCGCTCTAATTCGCTGATCGCTGCTAGAAGAAGCCGTTGAGCTCAACAAGTCGACAGGTTTTGACCGGTGTTCAGCCATGAGATAGTTCAAAGCATTGCGGGACGAGAGCAATCTTGTGCGGCATCAACCAATCAGCAACCTCGCATTGTCGTTGTATGCTCGGTCAAATCCGTTCCTAGCATAGGAGGACGCTTACCGGCGAGCAGATGAAAGTGCAAATGTTGCTGGCGCCCAACTTCGCGCATAGGTGCTTGCTCATTGGACAGCAGCTTCGGCTGGTTGCGCCGAAAGAGACAGTTGTTGGGCCACTGAATAGTCGGAAGAGGTTTGACGGATGTTTCCGCAGATGATGGTTTACCCTCTTCACCTGCCGTTGCACGGTATGTTGGACCAGGTTTTTTTCTCTCCGTTGGCTCTGGTCATTTCCACCATGCCGTGCCGCCGACTCAAACGGGATCGAAAACCCTTCTTTTTCGATGTCAGCCAGCCTGCTCATCAAATTCGCGACCCTCGCTAGACATGCCTCGCTTCAAGCAAGCGGCCAACCTCCTCTCACATCGACTGAGTTCCGTTGGTATTGCCAATCCCATCTCCCTTCCTCCGGCCCTTTCCGTTGCCCTAGATCCACCATTCTAGACCTCATCCTTTGTCACAATCGCTGTCATCAGATCGCTCGAGATGACGCTCGTTGCCCCACCATGTACCCCACGAAAGCGGGGAAGCATTGACGAGGTTTGTGGAGCTCCAGAAGTCTTAGTATGGTCCGCTTTCGAGATTGAGAAAAGCAAGTGTGTTCCTGAGATGACACACAAGTACAAGTTCTGCAGTGCTGCTGTCTGCAAGTCGTTCATGTGTTGCACCCGCCGTGCCCCTTCTACTCTCGGTCGGCTATACTTCCTTTCCGTGCACGTCTGCTCCTGCAAGTTTGCCACTCATCGTTTAAAGACTGAGCACCCCGCACACTCATTCGCCTCGCTCGTGTCTCATCTCTGACCGCGTGTATGTCGTTCCTCTCGCTTACAGTCTTTGATGTGGGCCCCTTTTTGACCAGTGCAATATGCTGTAGGGAAGGGCCGCAGCATTCGCCCTGCTTCGGTCCCTCCTCTTCACCATCAATCCCCCCCACGCCGCAGAATTGACGGTGCTCCCTCTTCCCGTGCCCTGCTACATGCTGATTGATTCAATTGATGGCTCTCCTGCCGTGCCTGACTGCGCAACTTTGACAAAGTTTGGGACCGCGAGCAGGATTCTGCAAAGGGGCCCCATCTTTTCCTTTCCTTTCTTTTGATGGCCTGAAAAGTTCTGCACAAACCCCTCCCTACTCCAGCTACCTATAAGACACCGGTCCCTGCCCGAAGTAAGACTCCCCTTCTCTGCCCCGCACCCCCCTTCTCCACGACTGCCACCTTACATCCTTCCGCGCCTCTCGTCGTCACTTGGCTTCGTCCGCTGCTAAGCCAACCCTACACATCGCCCAATACAACCGACGTCAACATGTACCTCCCTTCCAAGTTTGCCCACTTTTCCGAGACGCCCAGTGCGGCGCTCAACTGGCGTCTGGCTTTCGCTGTCGTTGGCATGGGTCTTCTCGGTGCCTCCCGTGGTATCGATGAAGGTATCATCGGCGGCATGATCTCCCAGAAGACCTTCGAAAAGGCTTTCGGTATTCCTGCCAAGAGCAACAAGGAGTCCAACGTCACTGCCATGGTTCAGCTCTTTTCGGTTCTCGGCGCCATTCTCGGTTACCCTATTTGCGAGCGCTTCGGTCGTGTTCGCGGTGCCCAGATCGCCTGTGCGCTCGTTCTTCTCGGCAGCGCGCTGTGGGCTGGCAGCCACGGCAGCTACGCCATGCTCATGGTTGCTCGTGCTATCGCCGGCACTGGTGTCGGTCTCACTCCCATTGTGGCTCCCATCTTCCTCGTCGAGGTTGCTCCTCGTCAGATTCGTGGTCTTTGCACCTCCGTCTACTCGTTCAACGTATACCTTGGTAAGTACATCACCGTGACGTAGTCCCCGATACATGTTCGCATCGTCACCCGATCATTTTTTTTTGACTTATTGATGTTTATTCTGGCGACCTAACATGCCCAAATTTTAGGGTTGCTTTTGGGCTACTGTACGAACCTCGGCGTAAAAACGCACGTTAATCTCAGGAGCAATGCCGTGTGGCAGGTTCCGCTCTCGCTCAACTTTGCGCTTCATTCTGTCGTGTTGGCCTGCCTGCTCCTCCTCAAAGAATCGCCACGATGGCTCATGATGAAAGGACGTGTCGAGGAGGCTTCCACATCGCTCGGATGGTACCGTGGCATGGAACCTCGCGACCAGGCGTTCGTTGAAGAGTACGAGCTCATTGTCGATTCCGTTAGGCAGGAGAAGGAGGCCACCGACGGTCTCAGCTTCATGGCCAAGGTTCGCGAGCTGGTTGGCAACAAGAACAACCAGTTCAAGCTTACCATCTGTGTTCTCATCCAAATCCTCGGTCAATGGCAGGGACCTGGTGCTCTTTCGACTTACGCCAACCGCATCTTGACCTTGATCGGCGTCCACGATAGCAAGGGCTACGTCATGTCGGCTGGTTTCGGTGCGGTCAAGCTTGCCGCTGGTATCCTCTCGTCATTCTTCTTGATCGATCTCTTCGGTCGTCGACGAACGCTCTGGATCTCAACCCTCTGTCAGGGTCTTGCGATGCTCTATGTCGCCATCTACCTCGGTATCTTCATCGACCGACCTCACCCCAAGAACAAGTCCGCTTCGGAAGCCGCTCTCGCCAGTATCTTCATCGCTGGTGCTTCCTGGTCGGCCGGTGGTAACTTGGCACAGTACCTGATCAACTCGGAAATCTTCAGCCTCGACGTTCGTGCTCTCTCCGCTTCGTTTGTCATGGCGTTTCACTTCTTGATGCAGTACAGCACCACTCGAGCTGTTCAGCCCATGCTGAACTCGAACCTCAAGGGCGCCGGTACATTCGCCATCTTTGCTGCCATGTCGTTGCTCGTTGCTCTGCCCGTCTACCTCTTCTTGCTCCCTGAGACATCGGGCAAGAGTCTGGAGACGATCGACGAGCTATTCGACTTGCCCTGGTACAAGATCGGTCGTGCAAGCCGAAGGCCTGTGCGCGACGAGGTACCTTCGCACTCGATGCCTGCCGCTCTCGAGGGACAGTGGCAGCGCGAGGGTGCTCATGGCAGCCTCACACCGGAAGACAAGGAAAAGAAAGAAACTTATGCCGCTTCTCAGCCTGCTAGCGGTGTTCGCGATGCCAAGTAGATTGGCTTCCATTTCCAGTCTGGTCTTCGTTCATCTATGTACTAGTACGTTGCAATCTAAGTTAACATGAAACAGCTTCAATAATCGCCTGCTTGACGAGCCTCGAGTCGAAATGAGATTAGCTTCGTTTCGTTAGTCGATAAGAGCCGTCTTTGTTCATGTGGGCTGTATCTGCATCGGGTGTCGGAAAGGGTGTGTTTGATCGGGATTGACGCGGAAGATGCTCGCTTCGCAAGACAAGCAAGCAAAGCACGGCAGGCTGCGTGGCTTGCCAGTTGCGAGAGTCAGGCGAGAATCTCAAGCCTTGCTTTTGACAGAATATGCGTGACTGAAGTTTCAAGCGGGAGAGCGGCCACCAGTCAGAGGTTGACGGTAGTGGATTCGCAAGTACGTTCAAGAGGAGATCAGGAACGGGTGTAGGAACCGCGCAGGAGCAAGGGCTACATATGCGCCATGGTATATATTGTTAGAAGATTTAACTCTGATCGACACTTATCGAGAGATATCAGTCCAAGTACGGTGTTCAAGCTTTTGAGCTAAAACACTATACTATATTGACATAAGGGTATTGGAAGTAGAGAAGTTTTATAGTCCTGATACTGATGATCGGGGATGGTCTAAGCACAATGTCACTACTTTGTTATAGCAGAAACATATACTCAATTGACTGAGTGAATATGATGAGAGCCTAGTGCTCTCTGTGAGATATATATACATGTGAGTAGCATATGACAAAGGTGGGAGTACTCCTATCTAATGATTTACCATGGCAACTGGTGGGACTGTGTTGCACCCAATTTCTTCCTAGATCAGTTCTCTTGAATCCTTGATCAGATTGGCTTATCCTGATCCCTTCACCATCGGCTTGCGTCACCTCTCATTATCATGTTTGATCATTACCTTTGTCACCCCCTCTCAATCCAACATGTCTATCTGATGTTGTTAACCCAAATGAATGATGGTGGTGTAGAAGTGTTGGTGCTGCCAGCAGTTTAGTCATGATGTCAGTCAGGTTTTTGCTACTTTGAACTGGAGCAATAGTGAGCCACCCACTCACTATTTCATCTCTCAAAAAGAAATGTGCAATGTCAATATGCTTCATTCTCTTGAAGTGTTGAGGGTTGTTTGCAATGGTGCAAGCACCAGATGAGTTGCTATGTAGTACTGGGACATTTCATTTGAAGATGAGATCCCAGTCACAGGAGTGTAGTACTGATGTTTCAGCACTTACATGAACCTCAGTTGCCTTCAACATGGGTTGTTCCAATTCACACAGGAACATTGAGGTCCATAGCAGCTCTCTGGCCACTGCTGCTAGTGCCACGTACTCTGCTTCCACAGAGCTGTTGGCTACTGTAGGTTGGAGTTGAGATGACCAGCTGCACACCAGCCCATCAATAATGAACATGTACCCTGAGGTAGATCTCCTACAGTCATGTGATCCTGCCCAGTCACTGTCAGCCCACCCCATGAGCATCTGTCCACCAGTCTGGGTCATTGCTGAGAGACTCACCATTGAAGTCCCCTTGAGGTACCTTAAGATGTGCTTGGCTGCCACCAGGTGTTCTCCTGATGGGTTTGCAACGAATCTTGCACATCTGCCAACAGCGAAGGCGATGTCAGGCCTGCTCCCTTGTGCAATCCACAATAATGATCCTATGAGTGAAGCATAGTACCTAACTTCCTCTGTGTTTGCAGGGTCTCCCTCCCATGGCTTGAGGGTGTTGATCACTTCAGTTGCAGGTGTAGATGCTGCCCAAGCTTCACTCATTCCAAATTTCACCAGGATTCCTTCAATGTACCCTCTCTGATTGATCAAGAGTGTGCATTCTTGTCAGTTGTAATTTACACTTAGGCTGATAATGTGTGCAACCTCTCCTTGGTCAGTGATACTGAATATGCTGGAGAGTTGTTGCCAAACTGATTGTACTCATGCAACAGTTGCCCCAATAACAAGCAGGTTGTCAATGTATACTGCTAGTAGTACCATTGCATCACATGAACCTTGTGTGTATACACATGGTTCTGATTGACAGTGTTGGAAGCCGAAGGCTTGTAGCTGCTCATCAAGTGCAGCATGCCATAGACGCCCCGCTTGTTTGAGGCCATAGAGTGCCTTCCTTAGCCTGTAGCACTTTCCATTAGTCTCCTCCATCTCGAATGTTGGGGGTATCCTGACAAAGACATCCTTGTCTATCTTCCCATTCAGGAATGCTGTACTGATGTCGAGTTGAATGACATGTAGTCTGTATCTGCAGGCAAGAGCAAGTAGTATATGGATGGTTTGAAGTCAAACCACAGGGCTGAAGGTTTGATCATAATCCAGACCCTGCTGCTGAGCATACCCTTGGGCAACTAGGTGTGCTTTGTAGTGCATGGCTCATCACTGTGCATCGAGCTTGAGTTTGAAGACCCAACAGACACCGATGAGCTTGCTGTCAGTTGGGGTGTCCACTAGCTCGAACACATTCATCTTCTTCATGCTGGCCATCTTGCTTATCATTGCTTCTTTCCACCTGTCCCAGTTGTCATGCATTTTTGCTTCATTGAGTGACAATGGCTTGAGTAGTATTCCATCTGCACTATACATCTGTTGTCCACTTGCAATGAACACAGTACTGTTCATTACTGTGACTGCAAATGCCATGTGGTCAAGATGATTATCCATGGGAGTGGGTGCCTGGGTTCCTGAGCATTTCACAGCAAAGGCCAAAAAACTATGTTGGGTCAGTGTTTCTGCATGGGTCAACCCAAGAACTGAGATGTTGTCATATATGTCCATGGATGTGTGGCTGTTCAGCATTTGGAGAAGGGACACCATTTCTGGATTGTTTAGAAGCACCAGGTCCTGATTCTGCAAGGTGATGTTCCCCCCCTCAGACAGAGTTGTGTCAAGTTCAGCATCCAGTTTGGCAGCAATTGCATCAAGGTCCACCACAACCTCACCTGCCACTTCTATCTCCACCATCATGTGGTCCCAGTCTCAGTCATACCCTGATGGGGTTGGTGAGGGTGACCATGAGTTTGAGTTTCTCTGGCAGGAGTATGGTTGTATGGACAGCAGGGTGTTGTCATTGAGGTCTATCAGATCATGGTCATCGCTGTGAGGGAGCCACATATAGGAATGTAAGAGCTCACTGTTGCCAGTGAGGACAGGTCGGTGAGCTGGAGCAGTCCCAGGTTCTAGTTGTTCAAGCTCTGAGAACTGTACATCTTTTGAGACTACAATGCAGTCTAGCTCTGGAAGCCATACCTGGTGGCCCTTGACCACACATGATGCATCAGAGAAGCCCAAGTATACCCCACATAGAGCTTGTGGGTGGAGGTGCTTGCTGACAATTGGATGGTTTTGTAGCCATGTCATATGAGTGTTCCCTCAGAGTACAACATAGGCTATGCAGCCGAAATGTCGGATCTGATGAAGCTCAGGGCATTTGCTGGAGAAGAGCTCAAGAGGGGTGACATGTCCCCAGGTCGTTCCTGCCAACCTGTTGTGGATGAAGGCTGCCTGGGAGATAGCATAGGGCCACCAGCATTTGGCCATATTAGCATCATAGAGGATACTTCGAGCTATCTTTTGGATAGTTTGGATGGCTCATTCAGCAAACGTGTTATCTGAATGTTGTTGAGTTGGTGAAGCAGTGACTTTCACACCTGTGGAAGAGCATAGATCACAAAAGGCTGTTGACCATAGCTCACCTTGGTCCACTTGTACCTCCTTAATGCCATGATCAAACACTACCTCTGAGAGTTCCCAATGTGTGGCAACACAGATTTCAGAGAACCACCATCCTGCCTCTTGGGCCACTTGACCCTTGCTTGTTAGGCCTTGTACCCAGACCATCCCTGAATATGCATCATGGATGATCAGGACATAGGTAAACATAGTTGTACCATGCAGCAGTCCCATTACATCCATAGACACTAGCTCAAGTGGCCCTTTGGTCTGCCAAGGATGAGCAGGGGTTCTAGCAGTCGCTTTGCTCCATACACAGGTGTCACAAAGGGTGTTGGGATGTATGGCAGGGGCTGAAGGAATATCATGTGAAAGGGTTACCATCTGTGTTCGCATAATTGAGTCATGACTAGCATGACCTAGTCTGCAGTGCCACAGGTTCGCCTTAGGACATGTTCTGTGAGTATTCCCAGTGTGTGAGGTGGTGGCTGCAAAGGCAAGCAAGATGGTGGGTTTGGCCATTTGGTCATTCCATATCATCATGGCTGCAGCTGGATAACCATCTCCACTCATCAGCACATGGACTGCACAAGCACATTTGTCCTGTACAGTAACAAGTTCATTCTCAAATGTCACCTTGCCCTGAGCATGTGTGACTGACTTGGTTCCAATGAGATTTGTCACTAGGTTAGGGACAAGAAGGCAGTTCTGATATGTTATCCATTCCCAGTGCCACATTTTAGGGCTGAAACTCAGCAGACTGACTGTCCCTCCCATCTTGGTTGCTGAGAGTTGTCCACCATTGGCAGTGGTTATGCTGACTGCTTCCCTCATGTCTTGCCAGTCCTTCCCATGGAGAGCAGAATTGACCATTACACAGGATGCACCCGAATCAAACACAAATGGTACAAGCCTAGGTGGTGTGTTAAACAGTGCCAGCTCAACTTTTGTGGAGAAAGCTAAGACTGGCATTGTATCCTATTCCTCTCAAGAGATTTCAAGTGGTAATACAATACATGTGTTAGTGCAACCTTTTGGCGGGACCTTGACCTTGCCTTCTTTCCAACAAATGTGAGCAGCATCATTAGGGCAGCAGTTAGCTGCATGGCCGAGCTCGCCGCATGCCCAACAGTTGATGAGGGTGGCAGCTCGCAATGCGACCAGCTCTGATTCCTCGGTAGTGCGGCGGTGTTGCATGGTTGTAGGAGAGTTTTTGGCAGCCAGTTCGTAACATTGATGTAGGACATTGGAGATGCTTGCAATAGTCTGGTCTCTACCATGTACTTTCTCATGCAGTATGAAAACTGAGTTGAAGAGTGCATTTTGGCCAGAAGGGAGCGCATGTTTAAGTGTTCTGTAATGGTAGTCTGGCATCCATGGATCCTTTAGGTATTCATGCAATTCCAATACATGAGCTTCCCATTTGATGAGGAAGTCATATGTGTGACTCCCCACCTGGTCCCAATGTAGATCAAGAGTTACTGCTAGAAGTTCATACTCTTTAATGTTGGAATGTACTGTGCACTTCTTTAGTGCCCAATCAAAGAGATCTATGGCGATAAGGACTGGCTGATCCCTGTGCTTGGCAAAGTACTCAGTGTGTAACATGTTTGAGAAGCTCTGCATGACAATTGAGCTAAGCATTACATTGGCATCTTCGAAGGTTGTTGCCTTTCTGTCAAGCACTCTTCTCACAAAGGGGACAACAGATAGCATTGTGAAGATCTTGCATCGCCATGCATGTACTGAGATGACCCTTGGGTCCAGGAGTTCATGTTCTTCCCATTGCATCCTTTCATTCAGACTTGAGAGTACCTTGAGATGATGATTAGAGATGGTACTAAGCTCAGGGGTAGGTCCTGGAGTAGCTTTGTGACCAACTAAGCAACGATTGGGGTCACTCATGTTGGGAATAGGTGGATCACCCATAGCTGACATGGGAGCTTCAGTCTTGATGGGAAGATGCAACTCTGGGTTGCATACATGCTCAATCGGACCTTCAATCTTGAGGTCAAGGATACAAGTCACATCCCACTCTTCATTAGCTAGGAAGAGTGTCACCCTAGTTTGCATTGCTCTGCTGAGTTTGTTTTGATTTTGAAAAGGACCAAGGTTGTGCATTGCTTTGTAGAGGATAGCAATACATTTGATCATTATGGACAATGGTGAGATTGCCTGTTCCTCGTCATTGTCATCCATTGCATACTTTATTATGTGACCCATCTTTGGAGTGCTAGGTGTACCATAGACTTAGTTGGTCATAACCTGATTGAAGTGGTTCTTGACTATCGTCGGCAGGCAGGGAAGGAGTTCCTGCATGGAGTCGACGAAGTCATCATAGGTCAAATAGTCTGGTTCAGACATTGCTGAAGGTGAGTTCGAGGATGTGGTAGGGCTTGATTGGGCTCATAACCTATTGGAAGTAGAGAAGTTTTATAGTCCCGATACTGATGATTGGGGATGGTCTAAGCACAATGTCACTACTTTGTTATAGCAGAAACATATACTCAATTGACTGAGTGAATATGATGAGAGCCTAGTGCTCTCTGTGAGATATATATACATGTGAGTGGCATATGACAAAGGTGGGAGTACTCCTATCTAATGATTTACCATGGCAACCAGCAGTGTCATGGGCCTGAGTGCGCAGAACGAGGAAGGACCGAAGTTCATATGAAGGTAGCGCAGGAATCGTGGAATCGGGTAGATCGTTGGGGCTGCGACAGAGTTCACCGAGATCGGCAGTAGAATCAGCTCTATGGCAGATCACAGCGAAATTGGCATGAGCATCGTCGATATCACGAATCCCACCGGAATCTGTGACAAGCGAGACCTTGTGGCAGATTCCGTGGAGATCGGTAGCAAGGTTGTCCGTATGACGATTCACATGCGAGAGGGACCAAGCTCAAGTGACACGCAGACGGTTACCACTCAGGGGCCCACAAGACAGGAGTAAAAGAGAACTGTCGCCAGTCAGAAGAAGGAGAGCTGTGTAAAGGACACCAGCGAAAGGGACATGAAGAAGAGGAGCAGTGTCGATGAAGTTGACACAGCTCAGGTAAGACAGGAGGGACAAGGTCTGATATGGAGGAGGTGCCTCCTTGGAGACACCTGTACAATACTTGACAAAGAGGGTACTCTCTGGAGAGAGAGAGCAGGAGCAGTGTCGCTGGCGATGCTGCGAAGAGATATATAGGCATACCTTCTTGTCATGAATGGTCGAGTGGATCCATCCACTCTACACTCATCAAACAAACTAGTATTACTTCAAGCAACAAGTATCATTAGTTCACAGTCAGTGTAGTAGTAATCAACAGATTGCTCCTCATCGAAGTGCGTGTGTTGTATCACCATTTCCTGACATCCGAAGGCAGTTCTAGCAAACCAGCGGTCCAGATATCAATAGAACCAAAGGCAGTTGTCCACTGCAGTCCAGGGATCACTTCAAGCATTAGTCGACACACTGGACACTCATGTCAACGTCATCTATCCATACTCACACCAGACCATTGGTGTCAACATCAAGTTCACTTAGAGTCGTATCATAGTTTAATCATGCTGAGCTACCTCTGGATGGAGTGTCCACAGTGGTCAGTTGAAATCTGTCACAACATCAATACAACTACAGATTCCAACGAAAAAAGCGGCAGAGACGGTTCTGTCGCATATTACACTAGGAATCGTAATACCACTATCACTGTCGCATAACTCGACAGAATTGGTGATAGTACTGATACCACTACTGATCTCAGGTTTCAGGCGCGCGACCGCTGACACAGGACTGTGTTGCACCCGATTTCTTCCAAGATTGGTTCTCTTGAATCCTTGATCAGATTGGCTTATCCCGATCCCTTCACCATCAGCTTGCATCACCTCTCGTTATCATGTTTGATCATTACCTTTGTCAAAGGGAAGAACGTAGCGGTAGCCTCAAGCTCTCCGCTCATTATCTATATACATTTGTGGTTTGTGGCTGACTGTGGGAGCATGCCACCTAATGAGGAAGTATGACAACGGATGGGACCCAACGGTCCTCGATCTCCATCATATCGGTCTGCCCGATCTCCGATCAGATTGACTCTCCCCGATCCGTCATCAGATCGCGCTCTGCTGGATCGTTATCTCCAGCATATATGCGCCATGGTATCGCTCAAAAGCCACTTTCGCCACCGGAAGCAGAAGCAATGTTGACATGGCGCCGTTTGCGATGCATCGCCAAACCTTTATCTATCTTGCAGTCAGCAAAGCGAAAGTACGAGAGCCGATCCAAAGAGGCTTGAGTGGCAACTCGTCCGAGATCCGGGTGGATAATGGTATCTCGTTTTGCTTGCTTGCCTTCCCCCACAAATCTTGGCGTGCTTCTCGCCTTAGAGAGTGGGAGCGGAAGGTGGCCTTCCAGACGAGGCTAAATTCACTCGCGTACGGACAGAAATCGCATCGCTCTCTATGGAACCTGACTTTGGCTCTGTTCCGCTCTGGAACAGACAGTAGCCTTGCATGGTGCATGAATAGACCAGGGACGAGAGAAGGCCGCAAGCCAAGTCTAAAGCCGACAAGATCAAAGTTCATGCTCGATTCAGCAGTGGATGGAGCTAAGAAGGGGGGTATTTAGCAGGAAGCGGATCAAGTCTCTCCGAACGACAGAACGAGCGGCTCTACTCAGTATAGATTTACGGTTTGGACCCTTCCGTGTCAGTGTTGAGGGGGAAGACGGAGCGAGATAGTGTGGAAGAGACTCGAACTTGCCTTTTGCCCATCATCACATATTCAGTTGATCCTGAACAGCTTGCTGGTGGCGACACCATCCGTCGGTAGCAAGGTTCGAGGATATCCTTGGGCGGCTGATCAGGTCAAGTCAGAAGAGAGGGTCAAGATTGAGACGAGGTTTTTGGCGAAGCAATTTGGACAGCTTGCGACAACAGAAGCGAGAGCCTGTGAGAGACACAAGATGACTGAGCTGAACAGGCATCTAAGCAGTCAAGGATGGCGAATTTCAGCTGTCGGCCTCCTCGCCTTTCATTGACCCGACACTCGACTAGATTAGATTCGCAATGTCCAACCGAGCGAATCAGATGGCAGCACATTGCGATGGACGCTCTTGGACCCAATGAGATGCTCTGCTTGCAAGTCGAGCCAAGCCAATGTACAAGGTTGGCGGTCAGCGGTCAACGGTCAGCGGTCAGCTGCATTGCAGCTTGAAACGCATCAACCACTGTTCAATGAACACATGTTGGGTTCATCTTGATACACTAGACACAAATGAGCCTACTACTGTACGGAGCGCGGCAGTCACTCTTCTCGGATCACCATGGGCCGTGTATAAATCATCGCACTTCGATGAGCATGAGACACGCGGTCAATAGCAAAGATTGCACAAAGCTTCTCCAGGTCAGTCCATACTGTCAAACTTAGCTCAGCAAGGAGTAAAGTTGTCTTGTGGCCTGTCCATGTGAGTTGAACCAGTTTGGTGGATTGGCCTTAGTCTCATTTCGCTGGTATTCTGCCTCAGCTTAAAGCGGCTTGGAGAGCAACGCCTGTGTCTGACTACTCTTCCGCAGCAAGTCGGGCCGGTTAAGTTGATTTTAATCCTGAATCGAGTCAAACAAAGGCACGATATCAGCTCCACCTCGATTTATTTTTTTGGGGGGGGGCAAAGTGCTCTGCCAATCGTATTCCATTCATGTGTTCCTGATTCGAGCATTCATCATCGACAACGCCCTTCACCCTCGTCTCTACCATCATCACCCTTCACAGCCAACCAGATACCATCGACCGACCGACCATCCGGCTTTCATCCTTTCTTCGCGACCTGGCACTCCTTCGACCCGCCTAAGACCGTCTCTACACCGTCCGGCTCTGACCAGGTCAAGACCTCAGCTGTCGTACTAAAGCAATCGCTTCCACTCAAGTAACCTCTCCTTACGCTGCGCTCGCACCTGGGAGTGCGTCGTACTTCCATCGACCTGATGGCGATGGCGATCAAGACGCAGCTTCCAGATGAGATCGTCGACCACATCCTCTACCTAGCATGCACCCTTCCACCACTTCGCACAGACGACTTTCGTGAGCCGTCCGACTTTGATGCCAACAGGCTCAAAGCTCGCTCTTCAGCACCTCACCTCGACATCTGCACCACTCTCAAACTCTTGCTTCTTTCACCACAGCATTACCCCTACATTGCCTCCATCCTTTACAAAGGCCCACGCCTCTCGGACCCCATCAGTCTTTCGCTCTTCGCCCGCACCCTCACCACTCGTCCAGCTCTCGGTCGTCTCGTAAAGCATCTTTGGGTCGGACACACCTACCAAGGAGAAGGTATCCCGCCTAATGCGCTGACCTTTGGCCTTGGCGGCAGTCAGTCCGCATACAGCCTCAACGCCGACCTGGCCACTATCGATGAAGTTCGTGCAAGTCTCGCCCAAGGTATCGCTCCCTCCAACCTCCTTTCTCCCGCCTTCGAAAAGAGAATCGCCCAGTGGGCCGCGCAGAATGTTCAGGCCAACATTCGCACCATTGACCCTCTCCGAGCACCCAGAGGCATTCACATTGATGCGCCCGGCTCTGGCGACCGAGAACCTCATAGATGGAACCCGATCGGCGTAGACGAATGGGTCCTTCGTCTCTGGGATGGACGCGACCTTGTCAAGCAGTTCCGCGAGGTAGCCAAGCGTGCATTCTTCCTCGAGCTCAAACGCTTGTCATTCGCCGCCTCCTCGAGCAGATCTTCCTCAAAGCCTTCTTCCGCCGCGTCGTCATCGGCTCCTTCTCCGCGTTCAGCATCCCCAGCTGCCGCCTCTGCGTCACCTGCTCCACAGAGAGCCTCTTCGTCCAGCCTTCTGGATACTGACATGGTCTCGCTGTTCCAAGCACAAAGTCATGAGCAAAGGTTTCCTGGCACGGATCAAGACCCACTAGATTGGGCCGACGCCTCTCACACTCCTCAACCTAACCCGTCGCGCAGCATTGACAACGACGAGCCCATCTACTCCGAAGAGCTCGACATCGACGAGATTGACGCCGAGCGGGATCGCTGTTTCGCCGAGATGGGTGTAAAGAAACCAGCATGGCGTTCTCAAAACTGGTCGGAACTCGCAAAGGTTGGCGATCAGAAGATCGAGTGGTGGGTGGTGTGGCTTCTAGCAAAGACAAGGGCTCGCGCTCGCATCGTGGCCCGTCGAGTCTGGAAAGCCGACTATGAGAAGGATCCCAAGCTGCGTAGCTGGAGAGCGCTGCGACCACGACCAGAACTGCATACCAAAAACCACTTCACACATCCTACCCTCTTTGCACGCTCAGGTGCAAGTCATTTGCTCGTCGGCGGCGCACCACCACCCACAAGAGACGAACTCTGGAACGGTGGTCGCCAGAACGATCTCGATGGCATGTCGAATTCCGACAGCGATACAGACTCAGAAGCAGGCTCTTACAGCGAGGACAGCGACTACGATTCAGAGATGGAAGCGTCTACCACCCGCATGGATATGTCTATCGTTCGCGAGACACTTGCTGGTCGCTCAGACCAGCAAGGCGGCAGTCAAGCGACAGCAGGACCATCTTCCTTTACCCTGCCCGAGTTCGTCGAACCAGAGCAGCAGAAGCCTGAGGACCCCGCCGATCTGTGGGGAGGGGACTACAACTTTGCCAATGGCAACGAGAGGGCAGGTGCAGGCAATAGCATCTTGGGATCTCGCGGAGGGATGTTCGGTTTCGACTCGGCCCTCCGCATTGGACTTTTGGAAGAGCCAGACAAGGGTCTCGACGATGGCACAGAGTTTGCCAGCCTGCAAAAGGAGAAGCAACGCCGACGCAACGAGGAAGACCGCCTACTCTCCGAGATGACGCTCGGTTCCATCCTTCAGAGTCTTCGCACTGTGATGATGCTTACTCCTCGACTCAAGGATCTAGCTCTTGACGGTGTACTGGAACGCAGCATCTGTGGGCGTCGAGCCATGTGCAACATGGGCAAGCTCAAGAGTCTCTCACTCGGTCCTCCTCCACCCTACTGGAGCTCACCGCTTCTGTTCGGCCATCCTATGAAGACGACAAGACGCGAAAGGCTGGCCTACCATCAGAAGATGCACGGTCTGTCCAACCCCGAGTTCGTTGCCGACGATGCGCGCTCACAAAGTCTTTGGCCATTGCCGGGTGTTCTCGTTCCTTCGCCCGCATTTGCGACGTTGCGCACCTTGCACATTTCGGGTTGCATGCTCTTCCCATCGGAGGCAAGAGCTGTCGGCGGATTGGGTAGCCAGCTACCCAGTTTGCGCCACTTCCGATGGTCGCTCTGGCAACCTCACGTTGAAGGACATCCTGTGGGTGTAGTTGAGACACTTTGTGCAGTTCTTGATATCCCGACACCAGAAGAGGAAGCTGCCGCTGCTGCAGCAACTGCTCGAGCTACCGCGATTCAAGGCTCAGGATCTGGTTTCCGCTTCGGTATCTCTACCTCGAGCTCCGGCACATACAGAGAGCTGGTCAATCACAAGAGGCGCCGAAGGCACGGAGACTCGCGTCGCCGCTCCAACCCTTTCAGCGCAAGTGGCTCAGCAATGACCGACTCGGGTCTTTCATCTTCACTTGGAAGCAATGCCACTGCAGCTGGTGCATCACACGAGGCCAGCATGTACGCTCTCGTCACGAGGAAGCGCAAATTGCGCTCTGTCTACGTGACTATACACCCGACGGATCAGGCCATCTTTTCACGTAAAGCGCCTGCCGCACTGCGATATGACACAAGGCTCACTATCGAGACTGCCAAATGCAAGAATGTCGAAGACAACCTCGAGGAGATGCAGCGATGGTGGGAGTGGGAGAGCGGTATGCTGCACTTCAAGCCAACCGTGTCTAACCTCGAGGCTATCACTTCTGCAGCAGCCAAGAGAAAGCAGGCTGCAGGACCACCGAGCGTGGTGTCGGCGCAGGAGCTCAATGCTGATCATAGTGGAATGCAGATGGATCTGAGACGTGCCATGGATACCGAGCTTGAGCTTGAGCCGCGCACGTAAGCCCTTTGTTCACACTAGTACATGCTAATATTATACATATGATACCCTAACATGATACCCTAGCATGAAACTGCGATGGTTCAAAGTCGACCGATTGAGCCTGGGTAGCCTTTAGTGCTTGCAGATCTCCGAGATGAGAGCAGATACAGGCGTGAGCAATGGTACGGCATCAGGTGTTGCAAATGAAAAGCGCGCTGGACGAGGTCATGCGGCAAGATGCGGAAAGCTGACCTCCGACCGAAGGTTCATAGCCGACGGCAGCGAAAGAAAGCTGGAGCGCACCTTGATGATCGAACAAAGGGAGAGGTTGGTTGGAACCGATACAGATACTTGCTGCGAAGAAGCGTGGAAACCGCTGGCTTAGGCTCATCCGCAAGCTCGCCTATATCGTTAGCGTGAGTTTCGAGATCCACATTCTGCTGCTAAAATTGTGTGCCTTGCGCAGCAAGGTACCGACCGCAAGCGTGAGGTCTCCTAAGAGAGGCGGTCCGCACTTTATCGAAGCCACAACTCATCGTTCTGATCTCATCTGTGTCCATGGTGCTTCATGAGGAAGCCTGAAGAGACTTCATTTGCGCAGAAGTGCATCCCGCGATCGTCAAGAAGGCGTGCGTGTCTGGGCTGGACTCAACAATCGACTTGCTGCGCTTCTCCTCTCCTCTCTTCACTACATCATCTTCACCAGGAGCCAGGTGTACTATTAGCAGCCTGGTTCGTCGTTAATTTGCCCTCCCTTTACACCCTCCCTTGCCGCTCGCTTCTGCGCTCCACCGGCCCCTGTTACGGCGGGCCGGGAGCCTCCTTATCGAGCTTCGAGGATCTCACGGGTCTTTGCCTGCAATCCACTTAGATTTCGTGTTATGTATATACAAATTGGTTATATTTCGTGCGATCTAGTCCAGGGGGGGATTGGTGGACGTGTGCGAGCTGGAGAACAAAAAGAAACTCCGCTTGTCAGAACAGAACACAGAAGAGAAGGTTTCATGTGATATGCTCGATGAACGCACTGCATTCTTTTGTCTCTGCCGAGCTTCTGTCGTTGCACACGACCTTGTTGCCGCTGGTCCTACAGCCCACTGAACCCTAATCCTGTAGTGCTTTGTCTTACAGAGCGCATAGAAACCTCGCTTCCCCCCGCCGGATCACTCTGCTCCTGCCGACGATTCGGCCTTGCACTCTTATCGCACCAATGCCGCTGTTTCCGTTGTGCTGAAGCTTGAGCCCGGTTGTGCGATCCTTCCTTTGCAGTTTCTTGTGTTCTCGGATCTTCCTCGCTAGCACGCCATGGTCTCTCTGGGAGCTTGTCTCTCTGGCCCCTGATGTCGGACGTGACAGTCTGTGCCTCTAGACTATGTCTTCGGCTCGTTAAGAACCTTCCATTCCTCCTCAAATAAATGCCTTCGATACATCACGATCATCCTTGTTACTCCCCAACTCTCTCCCATAGACAAGTTTCGACCTCGAAGCTCCCTTCAATACAGCATGAAGCTGCTCTCTACCGCCGCCTTGCTTGCAGGTGTTGCTGTGTACGATGCCTGCGCTCGTGGTCTTCAGCATGTCGGCAAGCTCCAGTCCAACTACGTTGATGCTCATCAGCGAGCTGCCGACCGAACCTCCCGTCTGCTCGCAAACAAGCAGTCACACTCTGCTGTCACTGGCAACACCATCCACTTGAACAACAAGACACAGCCCTTTTTGGTCAATGGAACCGGTGTCCCCGATATCGATTTTGACCTCGGCGAGTCCTACGCTGGATTGATGCCCATCAGCTCCAACCCCGACGAGGAACGCAAACTCTACTTTTGGTACTTCCCCACCAAGAACCCCAAGGCCAGCAATGAGATCACCATCTGGATGAACGGCGGACCCGGTTGTTCATCGCTAGAGGGCTTGTCGCAGGAAAATGGACCTTGGAGTTGGCAATATGGAACCTATAGACCTGTCCCAAACCCATGGACTTGGCAAAACTTGACTAACATCGTCTGGGTCGAGCAGCCTGTCGGTACAGGCTTCTCGCAGGGAAAGCCCAACATCACTACCGAGGCAGAGCTTGCTGAGCAGTTCAAAGGCTTCTTCCGTAACTTTGTTGATACTTTTGATCTGCAGAATCGATCGGTTTATATTACCGGTGAATCGTACGCTGGTCAGTACGTTCCCAACATTGCAAGCAGCATGCTTGACGAGAAGAACAAGGAGTACTTCAACGTTACTGGTATCATGATCTATGACCCATCGATCAATGCGGATACCATCACCGAGCAAGTTCCCACCGCTGCTTTTGTCGACTACTGGGGCGGTCTCTTCCCCTTCAACGACACAATAAAGGCACAGATCAAAGAGATGGACGAGAAGTGTGGATACACAAAGTACCTCGAAGAGCACCTCACCTTCCCTCCCAAGGGCAAGTTCCCTGACCCACACCCGACCACCGATGATTGCGACATCTTCGACTTTGTCTACAATGCCATCTTCGACGTGAACCCTTGCTTCGACATCTACCAAGTCGCTACCACCTGTCCTATTCTTTGGGACATCAATGGAGGCCCTGGTTCCGGAGACTACCTCCCACCTGGTGCTTCGCTCTACTTCAACCGTACTGATGTCAAGAAAGCCATTAATGCACCCGTCAACACCACCTGGCTCGAATGCTCCGCTGGCAACGTCTTCAACACCAAATCCGGTCTTGACAAGGGCGCTGAAGAAGGTCACTTCAGTTCCATCACTGTTCTTCCCGGCGTCATTGATCGCGTTGAACGCACCGTCATCGGCCACGGAATGCTCGACATGGTCCTCTTCATGAACGGAACTCTCCTGTCGATTCAAAACATGACCTGGGGCGGTCAGCAAGGATTCCAGAACCCGATCACAGATGACTTCTACATCCCTTTCCATAATGATTACCAAAAAGCAACCCTCGCAGCCGCCGGCAAGTTGGGAAAGACGATCACGGAGCGCAAATTGACCTTCGTTTCCATCGACTTGAGTGGACACATGGTCCCGCAGTATGCTCCATCCGCTGCCTTCCGTCATCTCGAGTTTTTGCTTGGAAGAGTGGATAGCTTGAGCAGCAAGCAACCATTCACCTTCTTTGACAATAGGCTTGAGGCTCAGAATGGAGCTTTTGATGATAAGAGGCGAAGGTCGATCGAGGATGGAAAGGCGAGTGAATTGCAGGCCAGACAGCTTCAGTACCGTGGTCTTTCTCAGCCGGAGATCAGCGAGATCATTGCAGAGTCTTTCTAAGCTCTCTCTAGAATGATAGAGCCAAAAAGGATAGTATCTTAGTATGCGAAGCAAATGTTTGTAAACGCACTGCTTCGATCAACACCGACAACTGTAGAGCTATTTGAGCTGCAGTCTCGTGGTCTGTGTTTGCGTATGGATTGCTAGGACAGAGGTGTTATGAATGAAGTTAAGTACAAGATTCCATTGACTTTCAGGTAAGAGAGGATCGCCAACGCTTCGGCGGGGGTAACTTTGACAATATCCTTGCCTTGGCTCGAGTTCAGCTCACCATGAGTAAGAGGGAGCGAATCAAGAAGGTGATGAAGCGAGTCTGCATCGAAGAATCCCGACTTCGGCGGTAGCACAGGCCATCGGTTGATGTCTTGCAGTTCGTCGCGGGCAGATTACTCAACTTGCTGTTCTCATGCGAGAGACCTTTGCTCGTGGCGGACGACATCATTCATGTTCCTTCTTGTTTGACATGCAAATCCTCTGTGATGGCACGCCCTTTACAAAGGTCGCATGCCAAGTCAACGGACCTTCTCACCGGGCTCACTCTAATGCTTACCTTGATGGAACTATCGTGGTAGCAGGCCAGAGAAGCAGCAAATGAAAACGCTGAGGCTTCTGTTCTGAATTACGGATTGCGCCATTGGCTTCGAACAAGTTCACTCGAGAGCACACGCCAGGCACGACCACTGCCATCGCCAAAGGCTGCGCGTCAACTCCTGTAATTTGGCGGTCGGCGTGGGTCCTTGCTTGGTTTCCATCACCATTGTCTTCGAGATCAAGCCATTCTGCTCTGCTGTCCCAGTGCTCGTTCCTCAACTTTCAATCAGGCTTAGCTTTCGGTGAGCACGAATTTCTCAAACTCCATGTGATGTCGACGTGTTTACATGTTTTCGTGAGACTCAATTCTTCCCAACCAGAACCGAAAGCTGAGCGAAAATACAGCCCTTGTGACGATGAGCAGCTCAACAGCGACACAGCTGTGCTATGGAACAACATGGTGCGAACACCTTCCAGACCAACACGAGAAGCTCCGCTACAAAACCGAGAGAGACTGGGAAGCAGTAGATGTAGCGAACGAGTAAGACATCGAGCTCCGCCACGGAACGGACGTACACTGAGAACGAGTTGATGTTGCCAGAAGAAAGAAACACTGACTCCGCAAGGAAACGAAGATGACACAAGTTGGTATGACAAGAGACTATGTTGAGCTCTGCCGCGAGACGGATCAATACTGCAAGAACGTTGACTGGGAGAGAACACAGACTGGGAAACTCGCAACAGGACGGAAAACAAAGCAGGTCGATGGAGCGAGCGAGCCAATCGACGAGCCTCGCTGAAAAGAGGAGAACACTCATGTTATCACCGTCTACGACGCGCTCCGTTATGAAACCAGGGGCAGACACTTAAAGACGAGCAAGCAAATAGACAAATTCCTCGTCAGAACAAAAAGCACATGGACAGAGGGCTACACATCAGACGTTGAGCTCACTTCATTCAATTTGTTCCTATTCGAGTCATTGCGATGTACACGATAAGATCAAGAACATGATGATATGAAGTCAACCAGGTATAGAGCCAGTCAAACGAGATGATGACGACGAGCAAATCAAGCAAGAGGCTTGTTTGCGAGCCATCGGTTGATCATGTCGGAAGCAGCCTCTGGCTGATCGTAGGGGACCATGTGGCCAGCTTCCGCGACCCTCACGAAGGCTACATTACCGGCTCCGTGACCACCTTTGCGTACTTCTCCTGCCTTCTTGCCGTTGACCTTCCATGTCTTGGCAGTACCGTTGTTGAAGTCGTCGAGGTAGCTGGTCTGGAGGTTCTGCATCCACTCGAGGTTACCCATGTAGTTGCACATGAAGTCAGCCTCACCGGCGTAGATAAGGACTCGGATGTTGTCCTCGATGAGCTCGGGAAGGAGAGCAGCCGAGTCGTGCATCGAGTCACCCTGGAGCAAGAAGGCCTGGTTGATGTTCATGTTGCACGACTGGAAGGTGACAGACTCGGGAACACCGAGGTTCTTCTTAATGCTAGGGGTGTTGAGAAGAGTCTCGATGTACTCCATGTCCTTGTAGCAGAGAGGGCCGTCCTTCTCACGGTCACAGTTCTTGCGAACATCGTAGAGGTTCTTACCAGTCTCCTGAGCAGGACCGTAGAGACGGCTCCAGCAGTAAAGGGCGGCAGGAGTGCAGGTGAGACGTGAGTTATACTTCTGGCATGACTCGATGAGCGACTTGCAGGTAGCAGCCTGCTGCTTAAGGGAGGAGCAGGTAGGGCTGTTAGGCTTAAAGAGGGCATACTTGTTGTCGGCACCGCAAGCGTACTCAGGGACGGAGGGGAACTGGTGCTGGGGCGAGCTGAGACCGTTGCCAATCATGACGGTGTCAAGGTTGATGTGCTTGGGGGCAAGCTCAGGGTCGCTGTAACGGGCAAGGGCGAGGTTCTTGTTCTTCTTGTAGATGGTCGAGGCAATGTTGGGAAGGTAGGTACCGGCGTACGACTCTCCGGAAGCAGTGAAGGGGAGCTTGGAGTACTCGGGGAACTTGGTGAAGAAGAGTTGGAGGAAGACGTAGACATCTTCAGCAGCAGCAGGCGAGTTGTTGACCTGGTCGTTGTCCGAGTACGAATATCCGACATCGACGGGCTGGTCGAGGAAGAGGAGGTTGGCCTTGTTGTTCCACGAGTGAGGGTTGTTCTTAACAGCACGACCCTCATCAGTGACACGGCAAGGGCCAAGCTCGAAGAGGAGACCGGTGGACGAAGAGCAACCGGGACCACCGTTGAGCCATAGAACGACGGGGTCGCTCTTGGGCTTGCTTCGAGACTCGAAGAAGATGAACCAGAGGTGCTTGGAGTCGGAGATGTCGAGGTAGCCACTGTGCTGAACAACGTCCTTGTCACAGAAGGACTCGGACTTGGTGTTGAGACGAAGCGAGTAGTCGGGGAAGGAAGGGTGGGTGAGACGCTCGAACTCGAGGCCGTCAACAATGACCTTGCCGGTGTTGATCCAGTCGTTGGCGCCCTGCTTTGTACCAGCGATGGCGTCTTCGATCTTGTGCTCGATTCGCTCAATCTCGTGCTCGGTCCAGGTGAGGATGCTCTCGGCGTGCTTCATGGACTCGGACAAGACGTCCTCGACATCAAGCTTGGCGGGAGCAGCAGCAGCGGCGACATCGTTGAGCTTGAGGCCGGAGAAGTCAGGTCGGCCCAAAGAAGGGACGGCGCTGGAGACTTGAGCGTCTTCGTTCCAGACGAGGTTGCCAGCCTGGTCGTAGTGAATCTGCTCAAGAGGAGCAGGGAGCTTGGCCGAGTTGGCGAGCGCCGCAGCGCACACGAAGGCTGCCGAAGCGGTCGAAAGCCAAGAAGAACGCATGGTGTGCTTGCCGAGTGTTGGCTTTGATATCGATGCGACTGTGAAGTGATCAGGTTCAATGGTGATTGAAGCTGATACTGGAATGGTGGTGGAAACGGGGACAGGCAAGTGCAACAGTGGCAAGCACAAGGTAAAGGGGGCTGAAGCGCTGATCTGTGCGAGTTGAGGGTCCTCAAAGATTAAGCGAGGCGGACAGAGGGTAAGCCAGGCAAGGACCCTCATTTTGCGCGCTTCTCTCCCACAAAGTTAGATTCTCAGTACAAATCCGGCAAGGCACAAGCGAAAAGGTGCGGTCATCAAGCAGCGCTGAGTTGAATCTGCTTCTCACAAGCAGGTGAGGTTGGACCTCTCAAAGAGCATTTTTCAATCGAGTCGGAGGTTAGCGATCCGTGCTCGGTTGAACCGCTTCCTAGCTTCTGCGATTCTCACAGCAAAAAGGCTGTGCCAGTCTTGTTCAGAGTCTAACAACAGGCAACATATTCTGATGCTCAGTGGCCTACTGAACAGCTCAGACCACAGCTCGAGTCCGCCGGCTTGCAACAATGCAACTGCAAGCTTGATTGCCGATTGACAGATTTGACTGTGCCATTGATCATCATGTTGACAGCTTTGCTTTACACTACCATCACAACAACGACGAGTCTCCCAGACAAGTACCTTGCAATCATGCCACACATCTTGAAGAACCCAGACGGAACCGTCAATTTTGATGCCGTCAAGAAAGAGACTGACTTCCTGAAGGGGTGAGTAGCACATCCTTTCTAGCCTTGAATTGCTTGCTTGCAACGGACACCACATCTGACTATAATTGCGCTTGCCAACATATAGCAAGTACGCACAAAATGCCGAGAACGCAAAGAAGAACGCTGCACGCGAAGAACAAGACGGGCAAGCCTCTGCCGTTTCATCGGCACCAGCTCCACAACAGGGTCATGGCGACCTTGTTCCTCCTAAGGCCGACAATACACAGTAGTCTCATGCAATAACAATCGCTCGTTCTAGGTATGATTTGTACGCCTGCAAAAAGAGTTTTAATCTCTCACCAAGCTTGGAATCCACAGACATTTGAGCGGTTCAGGCCTAGCATTATGGTGATGATACTTTTTAAATACAGGGTGACCATCTAAGAAACGCGAATGACGACCTTGCCGACGTGAGCCTGGCTCCATTGATAGGCATAAGCCTCCTGAGCCTGCTCAAAGTCAAATACTTTGTCGACCAAAGGCTTGATCTTGTGGTCTTCGAAGATCTGGTTCATGTGCTCAAACTGGGCACGCGAACCAACAAGGATACCCTTGAAGTAGGCGCCAGTGCTGAGAGCCAGCAGAGCAACGTTGGGTGCCTCGCCCTGAGCGACAAAGCCGATGGTCGAGACAACACCGCCTCGCTTGACCGAATTGAACGACTTTTCGAGAGTGCCGGCCCCTCCAACCTCGACAATGTGATCAGCACCGCGTCCTTGAGTGACCTCGAGCACGACCTTGTCCCAGTCGGGGTTGTTCTTGTAGTTGACAGTGGTGACAAGGTATCGGAGCGATTGAGGGACAAGGTTGACTGCCTTTTTCAGCTTATCGTCCGAAGACGAGGTGATGATCACCTTGGCACCAGCTGCCACGGCAAGCTGAAGAGCGAACACGCTGACGCCACCAGTACCCTGAGCAACAACAGTGTCACCGGCGCGGAGCTGCTCGGAAGGGATACCGTATAGCGCGTTGTAAGCAGTCACAGCAGCGCAAGGAAGTGTAGCCGCCTCCTCGTACGAAAGGTGAGAAGGAATACGGACCACACCGGTCTCTGGTAGAGCGACATATTGAGCAAGCATGCCATTGATGGCGCCACCCAAGGCCGTCTTGATCTCGTCCTTGTTAGGAGTTGAGCCACTCTGCTGCGCCTGGGTAAAGATACCAGCAACACGATCTCCCTGCTTCCACTTGGTCACCTTACTGCCAACAGAGACAATCTCTCCAGCGCCGTCCGAGGCAGGAATGAGCTCATCCTTCTTGAGGTCCAAGGGGTAGAGTCCTTTAGAAATGACCAGGTCTCTGTAGTTGAGCGAGACGGCGTGAACCTTGATGAGCACCTCGTTGGCTTCCGGCTTGGGAATGGGACCCTCCTTGATTTTGAGGACGGAGAAGTCCTTACGAGCAGAGACTTCTGGGAGAGTGTAGAATTTGTAAGTACCGCTCATCGTGAATAGATTGTCAAGTGACTTGGTGGTTAGAGTACAAGTCAGATGAAAGTATGGTGTCACTGGATATATAAGCTGAACACAACCACCCGCCGCTTCCTCAATCGTGCGCACCTACCAATGGAAGTAACAAAATCTGGCTCCTGGAAGACAGCCTGACTGATCAACGCCGACCTTCTCAGAAAGACACCTTCATTCGGACTTGGCAAAAATTCTCGGGCTTCGTATTTTCGCACTGAAGCATGCTTCTTGCTCATCATGGCGTAATTTCTGCTGCTCTTTGATTATTGCATTGCCGATGTGGAGCATTTTTGCCGCTGGAAACACGGGCCGTGGAACTTTCGACCTCCTCATTGTGACGAAACAAGGATCGGGCTGGATCTACAAATTGCTGATGATCGGGTAGATCGCGGCGACTTCGAGAAGTTTGAGCCTTACTGTCCGTGCGTTTTTTTCAAAGCTTGTGGCCCCGCATCGAACTTTGCCTTATCTTTGTGAACCTTCGCTTTCGCTTAAGCTGTCGGGCCCTTATGTCCCTGCAGCTTCGAACCATTGACTCAACTGTCTCCTGCCGACTTATCTGCGGACTTTCAAGTCAGAATTTGCTACCTACTACTGTAGCTCTGCACAGGACAATGCGGCCTTCTCCGTGCGGTGATGGCAGTGGCATGAACTAGACAAGTTCATGGGCTCGGAAGTTCAAAGCTTGCAAGTAGGGCTTCTCTTATCGTGTCGCCTCCCAGTCACCTAATTGGTGTTGATGTAACTTACAACGGTACGGAACAGCTGCAACCGGCCTCGTCAAGGGCTTCATCCAAGCCTCGCTTCCGAACACGCCGCTTTGTTGTGAACTGAAAAGTTTTCAAGTCGTGTGGCTTCCAGAGGATCGCCCTCAGTCCATGAAAAGTGCTTCTTCCCAGATCCGAACCAAAGCGTCTTCCTTTTGGACCAATACCATCACGTCGTAGCAAGAGTCGACCCACTTCAACATGGCATCATCGCAAACAGAGCGCACACCTCTGCTGGGCGGTGCTCAGCAACGTCAGCCGTCTATCTCTCGCCATCGACCTAGTTTCGCCGCCAGCATCGGTCGACCTGACCTCACTGCCGAAGAGGAAGATGCCATCGCACAAGAGTCAGCCTTCAGCGCTGTTCAAGGCGCAGCACACGGAGTTGACCCCAACTCGTCCGCCTTTATTCCCCTAGATCAGAGCCACTTCTCCGTCGCAGGCATCGATGCGATTGCTGAAGAGCCTTCCGAGCCTCCTCTGCGGCCCGACATCTGGGTCATCATGGGCGCCATGTGGATCGGAAGCTTCTTGGCAGCCTTGGACGGTACCATCGTGGCCACTATCATGACTTCCGTCGGCTCCGAATTCCGTGTGAGCAAGGAGGTTGGGTGGCTTGGTACAAGCTATCTGCTCACTCAGACCGCTTTCCAGCCACTCTACGGCAGAGCCTCCGATATCTTTGGCAGGAAGGCTGCCACTTTGTTTGCTTCCGTTGTCTTCCTGATTGGTTCTCTCTTGTGCGGTCTCAGCCAGTCCTTCTGGCAGCTCTGCGCCGCTCGAGCCATTGCCGGTATTGGTGGTGGTGGACTGACCACAATGGCCACTCTGGTCACCAGCGATCTTGTCAGTCTCAAGGCTCGAGGCACATGGCAGGGTCTCGGAAACTTGGTCTACGCTACCGGTGCTGCTCTCGGTGGTCCCTTGGGTGGTGCACTCGCCGATGGTGGTCTTGGCTGGAGGTGCGCTTTCCTGGTCCAAGTTCCGCTCTGTGCAGTGCATTTTGCCGTGGTCTCGTGGAAGATCGACATTCCCGCTGGACCCGGCAGCATGATCGAAAAGATCAAGCGTATTGATGCTCTCGGCTCACTTTCGCTCGTCACCTCGGTCACACTTATCCTGGTTGGTCTCAGTCTTGGAGGCAATGAGCGCGAATGGTCGGACAAGCTCGTGCTGGGCTCCCTCATCGGTGGTGGTGCTGCCCTGGTGCTCTTCGTTCTGATCGAGCGCTACTTTGCTCGCGAACCACTCATGCCCATGTCGGTGCTCTTCAACCGCACGCCAGGCTTCGTTGCTCTTGCCTGCTGGTTCATTACCATGTCGCAGTTCGGCATCATCTTCAATGTTCCTACCTACTTCTCGTCCGTCGAACGAACCAGCACTTCGTACGCAGGTCTTCACCTCATCCCTAACGCCATCATCGCCTCGAGCTGCAGTCTTGGAAGTGGTCTCATCATGGCGCGTACCGGCAGATACCGCAAGATGCTCCTGCTCGGTGGGCTCTTTGGCTTCGTTGGTCCACTCATGATGTGCTTCTGGCATCGTGGAACGTCCGAGTTCTTCTACTGGGCGACAATGCCCTTCGGAGGTGCTGCTTACGGGTCCATCCTGACCATCACATTGGTGGCTTTGATCGCATCGGTCGATCCTAAAGATATGGCCGCTGCAACGGGTGTCACGTATCTCTTCCGTGCCACTGGTTCTGTTCTCGGCATTTCTCTTTCCAGTGCTATTCTACAGAATAGCTTGCAGAAGAACTTGGAAAAGACCGACATCCCTCGCAAGGTGATTCAGATGATCCGCCAAGATGCAAAGACGATCGAGAACCTGAGCAAGCCGCTTCGTGAGGCTGCCATCAGCGCTTACGAACAGTCGATGCATACCGTCTTCATTGCGATTGCAGCTGCTGGACTCATGGCCTTCGTTGCGCTCTTTTTCATCGAGGAGCGCGACCTTCCCGGCAAGAAGCTTGCTGCTGCTGCACCTGCACGCTCTCAGCGCTAAGAAAAGGCCTGATAACCATCATCTATGGAAGGACTCGCGTATGATTTAGTACACCTGGAGGACCGTCCACCTTGCCTTTTTCCCTGTCTTCTCAGTCCAATTGCAATAGAAACATTCACCTTTTGTGCTTGAGGGTTTGTGTTTCATAGACACTGAGATCAGACTCCAAATCTGAGGTGATTGGGAGAATTGATAATCGCATTGGTTGCAGCGAATATAGGAATTGGGAGCTGAGACAGAAGTCGATATTGATCAAGACAGCTGCTTGGCGAGGAACTCCTTCCAGGCAGTCTGGTCGAAGGACGACGAGATGCTGCCTTCGACGAGACCATTCCAGACTGCAATTAGAAGGGGTGGGCGATCGAAAGATGTGGTCAGCATCAGACAGAGTTTTGCGTATCATTGCAATCTCACATCTACTCACGGCAAGTGGGTGTTACATGAATACCGTTCTGACGACCAAGCTTAACCTAAATTGAAAGATCGAATGCAAAGGAGTGTCAATTTTCAACGAATTGGTAACATTCTCAGCCTTATACCCATTCGAATCTGTGCAAGCAACTTACGCAGTACTTGAGTTCCGGAACAACGGCGCTTCCGCCGTTGCCTTCCTTCTCGACTCGGATGAGGTTCTTAACAGACTGGCCGAGCGGAGTTCCCTGCAGGTCCCGGTGAATAGCTTCCTGATTGCGCTTTTTGGGACCTTCGCCGACGGTCTCAATAACAAGGGTGGCGAGCTCGCCGCGGATCTGATCAGGCGCCTTGCCTCTGGCGGGTCCATCAAAGAAGCGCTCTTGCTCCTTCATGAGCTCCAAGGAATAGAGCCAGAATGCGTTGCGATCTGGGATTGCAGTTCTGGCAGGATCCGTGAGAGCAATCTTGGCCACTGCTAGAGCCGACTCATGCAGCAGCGTCGAGCTAGAGTGCCATGGCTGTGGGTAGGGTCGGATAACGATGCGGACCTTGTTCTTGTACTGGGCCGAGTCTCCGATGACGAGAGGCAGCAAGTGCTCGTTGACACCCTTGAGCTGTTTTGCGGAGAAGGGGCACAGATAGTCGAGGTAGAGCTCAAGGGTGTTGGGAGCAGTGAGCGAGCCGATCGAAAGGGCCTGAAGCGAAGGTGGAAGCGCCATGGTTCAGATGTCGCTTGACGGCGTGAAGAGCGTATCAAAGGACTTGATCGAGCGGTGAGAAGAGGATCTCGAGGCCCACATTGCTTTGCTTGTAACTGTGAAGCATCCAACACTGCACGGACGTCTTGCAAAGCTTAATCTCTGGTTGACGTGATTCGTTTGCTTGCTTGCATCTCAACAGTTTTTGGCTCGGCAAAAGACTGTTAGACCTATAGAAGTTTTTTAACGATGTGAGATCTATGGAGTCGACATTCGAGCTCTGAGGACCGGCTTGACTGTCAGCTGGGAAAGTGAAGTTTGGAGGGTCAAGGCATCTTAGCCGAGGCCAATAATGGCAAGACCCTGTTGGTCGCATTTCGATTCCGCAACAACTTGAGCTTCTTCTCTGGCCGCCAAGCGGTCAAGTTGAGCTCTGGATCAGTGTCCGCGTTTTCTGTCTTGCCAGCTCTTTTGTTCTCGTCCTGGTTGTCTTTCTCGGCTGTGTACCATGCCATTCCCATTCGCAGACTTCAGCCTTGTCTCAGCCACTCGGCGAGCATCATTTCTGCCTTTCTCACCTCTACCTCTTCCACTCGATACATACTCAACTACGCCCTTGCTCCTCTCCATCATCTAAGTCGAACAGCTTAGATCATCTATCGAACGAGTTTGGAGTCGCTAGGACACACAATGCCGCCTAAAAGAGGAAAGGGACCTATCAGAAGGCACCATGCTTTCCACGGTGTCGTTATGGTCTGCGGTTGGCTGCTGCCTCCCCTGGCCGTGCTGATTCGCTTCGGTGTCGGCCTCGATCTGTTCATCAACATCATCTGCACTATTGCTGGATACATCCCTGGTCACGTTCACAACTTCTGGATCCAGAACATCCGAAATAACAAGAATTCGCGACACTCGCCTTCATGGGCCATCAGGTATGGGCTCGTCAAGGACTACCGCGTCAAGCGCACTGCCAACGGTTGGTCTGATCGATACGGAGACTCTGCCAACGACTGGCAGAACCAAGAAGTCATCGTTGACCCCATCACTGGTGAAACTCGCCGTGATCCCGAGTCGGCTCGCAAGACCGGCAACGTTCGTGCCAGTAGTCACTTCCTCTCTCCTTGGGCCGACAACGTGGACGACAGCCCACGGGCAGAACGCGAGGATCCCTCCGATCCCTATGCTGAAGAGAGGAGGCAAAATTCTGGTCGACCCGGCAATGTTTCACGAGACCCCATCACGGGTGCAATCATGGATGACAGCAGAGGAGGCGGCACGGATTCACTCTCCCGCACTAGCTCGAGGAGAAGTCTTGGAAGCCGCTACGCTGAGCGCTACGGCATAGGCACTGAAGCTTCGTCCAGAAGCTCGCTCAGCTACGCCAACGACGGACGCGAGAACCACAACAACAACAATAACAACAACAGCTCCAGTAGATGGGGCCGTTCGAACTCGTCCAAGAGCAAGAAGAAGGACCGTTGGGCAAGAGAGGCTGAAGCACTCGGTCACCCTTCGCAGCAGCACTCATACGGCTCGGACAACTACAGCTTCGATAACAACTCGCGCAACTACGGCAACAATAACGGCAACGGCAACGGCGGCGCAGGTAACCGCAGCAGTCGCATCCGTGATCCCCTTGCCGATCGTCACGATTTCTGATGGCCGCTTTTGGCCTTTGTCTTTCTGTCGAGGATCTTCCTTATGATTGCAATTCTTAGCATGCTGTTTCATTGACGTTGATTTACCGTGACTTGTCGTGTGCGTGAGTGTTTAATTTGCCTTGCCTTGGCTGTGCGTTGCGAGTGCTTGAAACGAATGGCTGAAAGATCCTACCATCGGCGACGAAGAAGGATTAGCATCGGGCGAGAACGCGATCGTCTAAAGCTGAGCACTGTGTTGTCATTAGCCTTGTCTCTCGAGCTTCTTCGGTCATCATTGTTGTCGTACTGCTCTGCCTGGAGACGAAGACTGTGTTTTGCCAAGCTAAAAAATGATGCAGATGCCCTGATTCTCAAGCAAGGCTACTCTTGCGGGCTTTCCTTTTCTTGTTTACTCTGTGTGGAGGATTGTCCTAGGGACCCGGTCAGACTTGAGAATACCATCATACATTGCGACCAAGTCCTGTGGAAATCCAGAAGCGTTCATACTGCATCTTGTGCCAAGCAAATCTCCTTTTTTTCGGAACCCCAATTTCAGAACGGAAAAACCGAGCCAGGAAAGAACAGAAAATTAAAAGGAATTGCATCGAATGCATCGATGTCGAAATTCCAATGACAACCACCAGTGAAAGTATGTGATCTCTAGTTTGATCTCACACCTTTGTCACCTTAACTCACTCGGATCGGGCCGATTGTCACAACAGGCATACTGGCTATCCAATGTTGAAGATTACGATCCAGTGCGATGCTAAAGGATGACGCAGAGCCGATCTGGTTAGATGACCGATCTGATCAGAGATCAAGCCAAGCCGATCTCACCAGAGACCGGGTGCAACACAGTCCCACTCGTTGCCATGGTAGATCATTAAGTAGGAGTACACCCACCTTTGGCAGTTGCCATGCTATTGTATACAGCTCACATGTAAACTGTCCCACAAATTTACATGTCACCATACATCACTCTAATGCTCAATAGCCATAAGTTGTATTGCCACACTGTCTGATATCATCTGAAAGCCCTGCTTCTTCTCTCCAAGACTGTGTAAATGATATTGACATTGACTAAGAAAATTGTGCTATGAAGAAGAGCCAATTTTATTATTATTGTGGGACAGTTTATGAGTTGAGGAATTTCGTTGTTATGTTGTTAATTCTATCTACTAGCTTCTATGTACATTTGTCATCTATATATGCTTGGTAATCTCTTCCACATGTGTTAGCCTGTGATGAGCTGCTCCTTGTGTCACTCCTGTGTTGTCATTTCCTGCATGTTAGCATGACAACACTTATGCATCCCACATGTGTTACCACCTATATGTGTCTTTGTCTCATCAATGACTCACTTATCTTCCATGGGCTCCATAATGCTCTGTGGACCCTGTGAATCCCATTGGAGTGCTGATGCATCTCTCTCAACTGTCTCCCTCAGCGGTGAGGCAGTAGGCTGCTGAGCTGCTATACCTTGCTGTGGTGTCAGTCCTAGCCCTTGTCATGTGCATCGCAATGCCTCCTTGCCTACTGGTTTGGTAAAGATGTCCACTAAGTTATCTTCAGTGCTGATGTACTTGATTTTGACCTTTCCATCTTGTACATTGTCTCTTATAAAATGGTATTTGGTGTTGATGTGCTTCAACTTCCAATGTTGTGCGGGGTCTTTGCTTATCTGGATGGTGCCTGTGTTATCTGAGAAAATTATGGGGGTACCAACATCAACCCTGATGGCCTTGAAGAGGTGTCCAAAGAAGAGAATTTCTCATGTGGCCTTGGTTGCTGCCACGAATTCTGCTTCTACTGCCAATAAGGTGGTGCAGCACTGTAGTGCAGACTTCCATGCTACCAGATTTCCATGTATGAAAACTGCTGACCCTGACGAGCTCTTACATTGTGCCGTGGCGTTGCTTGCCCAGTTTGCATTGCTATGTGCCACCAGAAAATCTTGTTGCTTGTTGCTACCATATTGCAAGTGGACGTCCTGGGTGCAGTCCAAGTATTGGAGCACTCTCTGTGCTGCGTTGTAATGTTCCTTCGATGGTTGTGTCATGTAGCATGTGAGGACACCCACAGCTTGGCTGATGTCCAGATGTGTTCCATTTGAAAGCCATAGGAGTTTGCCAATGATTTGTGGGTATTCCTTCTGCTCGGCTATGCTTGCTGTCATCTCTGGTACTGGGATGTCCTGGAGTGGTATGCTGGATTTTCTTCTATGTTTATCTAAATGCTTGTTTAATAGCTGCTTGACATAGTTGGTTTGCATGAGGTCCATAGTCTTTGCCTTGTGGTCTCTGGAGATCTTGATCCCGAGAAAATGGGATATGTTGCTGCCCTCCTCCATTTTCCACTTCTTGCCTATCTCCCTCTTAATTTGCTTGACTGTTGTCAGTTTTGGAGATATAATCAATGTATTGTCAACATAGATAATCACTATTGCAAAGTTGTCCTCCTTTCCTCTGGTGTAGATACATGGTGCACAATCGAGTCTATGGAAGTTCGAGTGCTGCAGGAACTTATCAAACTCCATGTTCCACTCCTGTCCTGATTGTTTGAGTCTGTATAGCCCTTTTACTACCCAATAAGCTTTTCCTTTTGGTACCTTTGCCCCTTCCAGTGGTTTCATATAGATGACATGCTTGAGTGTGGAGTTGAAGTAGGCCATCGTGATGTCGAGTTGATGGACCTCCCAGTCCCACTCCACTGCCAGTGACAACAGGGCTCTTATCGCACTGAGTGGTGCCACCGGTGCAAAAGTTTCCTCAAAGTCTATGCCCTCTCGTTGTGTGAATCCTTGTGCTACAAGTCTTGCTTTATGTCAGACAGGTACCTCATCAGCATCCAGCTTGAGATGGAGGACAATCTTAGAGTCAATGAGTTTGGTGTTTGGTGGTATGTCCACGATTTCCCAAGTCCCCATGGCTTCAAGCCCATCTAACTCCTTGCATATGGCTTCTTGCCATTGCTGTGCATCGTCACTGTCAAGTGCTTCCTGTAAGCGGTCGCGCGCCAGAGACTAGCTGAGGTTGATTGAGTAAGGACTACTCGATATGATTCACCTAAATGTAACCAAGCATCATCGCCTAGTAAGTCTCGACTGACTGCCTTGAACACTCCATTCAGAGGTTGTGCAGCACAGATGTTGTTTGTTGGTGAGTGAGTGATACACCCTCCCCTACAGTACAAGTGTTTGTAGTACTGTTGATAATGCTCTTGGACATCATCTGGACTGCAATATGCTAATCACCTACAGAGGACGTGAGTTACTGGACTGCTGGTGTGAAACACTGCCTACAATAACCAACTGGACTGCTGGTGTCAAGCAACACCACCTACAGCAAGGAACTGGATGTCATGGGCCTGGATGCTCAAGAAGCAGGAGGGTCATGGGTTCATATGGAAGGAGCACAGGTATCGAAGACCTAGTCGACACCAGTAGAGAGCATGGTCATAGTGCAGTCTCCATGGAGACCATGGACTCCTATGGACTCACATGCAAAGGAGGGCCAAGCACAGCCACGAGGAGGACCAAGCTCAAGGAGCAGGCACAGCCACGAAGAGGACCAAGCTCAAGGAACATGCAGATGGTTACCACTCAGGGGCTCGAGAGACAAGAGCCAAAGGAACTGTCACTGATCAAAGGAGGAGGAGCAGTGTCGAAGGAGTCGACACCAGGTCATGAGGAGGAGGAGCAGTGTCGAAGGAGTCGACACAGCTCAAGAGGCACAGGGGTGCCAAGCAGGAGAGGCCCCTGAGCAGTACTCGATGAAGAAGGTACTCTCTGGAGAGAGAGCAGGAGCAGCATCGCTGGCGATGCTGAGAAGAGGTATATAACCATGCTTTCTCATCAATAGGTCGAGTGGATCCTCATCCACTCTACTCACCATACAACTAGTCAATACTTTAGAAACACAAGTACTCATTAGTTACAGTCAGCATAGCAGCAATCTATCAAGGTTGCTCCTCATCGTAGTGTGTGTGTTGTATCACCACTACCTGACGTCCGAAGGCGCCCATAGCAGGTTAGCGGTCCGGATATAGATAGAACCGAAGGCAGTAGTCCACTGCGGTCCGGGGATCACTTCAAAGCATCAAGTCAACACACTGGACACTCGTGTTGACGCCACCAACCTTATCACCAACACCATCAACCTCATTATCATTGACATCACCAATCTTATCATCAACACCATCAACCTCATTATCATCGACATCACCAATCTCATCACCAACACCATCAACCTCATCATCATCAACACCCACACCAGACCTTGGTGTCATCATAACACTGATATTGATCGTGCCGTGCTACCCCTGAACGGAGTGTCCACAGAGGTCAGCCGAAACCTACGATAGTATATACAACAAACGCCACCTGCTGTCACTGCACAACTTGATAGTCACCGAGTATCTCGAGACAATAGCTGTCGCACAGTTTGATAGTCACCGAGTATCTCGACAGACCGACCTGGGTTTCAGGCGCGAGACCCCTGACACTGGACCGCTGGTGTTGAAGAACACTGCCTACAGTAATGAACTGGACCACTAGTGTGAAGAACACTGCCTACAGTAATGAACTGGACCACTAGTGTGAAGAACACCACCTACAGTAATGAACTGAACTGCTAGTGTGAAGAACACCGCCTACAGTTGTCGACTAACAGTGATACAACACACACATTGAGAGTCATTGCAAGAGCACTGCTATTGTGAAGATACATAACCGAGTAAGTATAGAGTAAGTAAGTTGAGTTTCAGAGTGGATACCCATCCACTCATATGCTATGGTAGAATGAGAGTATTTATATGTCTGGTCAGTGTTTTCCCTCGACACCTATCCTGCTCCTCTTGAGGGGCCTTTGTCCCCTGTTAGGCACTGCCTTGCCCTGCTGGCATCAACCCCTTTGATACTGTGCTCCTACCATTTGCTTGGTGTAAGGGTTATGCAACACTGCCCTCTTGCCTACATGCTCTCCTTCTGCCTGATGTGTGATACCCCATTTCGGCACAGCC